GCGAGATCGAAGCGATCTACTGGACATTTCGGCGTGTTTCATTTTGGCGAAACAAGCAACCGATTTGACTATATTGCGCACTTCCAGCAAGATCGGCCGATCCCAAGACCAGATCGGACCAATCCCAAGGCAAGATCGACGCAAGACTATTATTTGCTGAGTGAAGATTTCCGCACAGCGAAGACCCCGATCCCGAAGACGAGTCGAGATCGGTGTGATTCAAGATCGAGATCGCGACATCTCCAAATTTAGATCGCCGCGACGCAAGATCAGGATCGCAGAACCCCGTTCGTGGTGTGAAGATTTCCGCACCGGAAGCGAACGCTCAACCCCAAACCCTCAGCGAGATCGACATCTCCCAAGGCCATTACGAAGAGCTCAAACCAGCCCAACCGACGGGTACACAAGGTGAGCACAAGGTTATACAGCAAGGCACGGATCGGAGTACCCCCTCCGCGAGTCGGCAAGTCTGGGCAAGTGGAAGATCGACACTCACTAAAGCGATTTTGTGAGATCGACTTCACCACAATACCAATATCGGGCTGGAGCGGTGAGCAAATCACCAAACACCAAACATTTTTCTGTATCGGATATTTGTTCTCGAGAAAAAGCCGACATGACCATGCCGATCCAGCTCCGAGCCCAATCTTTGTCTCGACTTTTTCCTGAAAACCCTTCCAGATGTGAGAAGACGGACGCCCTGTCTACTGCTTGTCCACAATATTCAAACAAGAATTCTTCCACCAGCGCATTCCAATCAAATTGTATCGATGCGTGTAGTTGAAGATACCAATATCGAGCTGGAGCGGTGAGCAAATCACCGAACACCAAACATTTTTCTTCATCAGGTATTTGTTCCCAAAGAAAAGCCGACATGACCTTGTCGATCCAGCTCAAAGCCCAACCTTCGTCGCGACCTTTTCCTGAAAAATCTTCCAGACATGAGATCACGGACGACCTTGGTTGTATGTCGATCTTAGATTGATCTTCAAAGGCTTCGATACTGACCTTGCCGATCCTGTCCTTTAGAAAAGATCCTCCCAATGATCCCAGAGACATCCGACGAACGCTGATGGACCCATCTGACTCGATCTCGGAGTCAGATGAGGCGTAATAAGTCGATCCTGAGGGTTGTTCTTAAGGTGATTCCGAGGGAATGACGATTCCGTCTCTAGGAGTGGTGGTCTTGCCCACCAGAAGTATCATGACCTCCACGAACTCGCTTACTGTGTTCTTCAACTGTTCCAAGCTGCATCTCATCAATTCGTCTGAATCGAAAGCATTAGGGCAGAAGCCCGTGTCATTCAACATCTGCAAAATCAAATCAATCGCGCCGAGTTTGCTAGTCACGGGCGGCAGGATAGATATCGGCTTACCCAGAATGCCGATCCACTTGGGCCGTAATATCTTGAAAACTGGGTCTGTCTTGAGCAGTGTCTTGAATTGGCTATAATAGCACTGCCATTTCGCACGCTCCCACATTTGAGTCACCGACTCCATCTTCGACACCGCGATCTAGGCCATCTCACGATCATATTCTTCTTTGACTACGATCTCCAATCCGACTGATTTTCCGATTCGGTGATCTTCGCCTTTCTATCCCAGCACTTTCTTCTTCTTTCGTGCCGATCCGGCGGGGTTCTTGGCCGTCTTTCTCGTGTTAGTGTTTGGTGACCTGCTATCGAGGGTATTTGATCCCGGCTTATTCTTCTTCTCTCGTACCGATCCGGCCAACGTCTTCCTCGTATTAATGTCAGGTGACCTGGTGACGAGGGTATTGAGTTTGGCTTTCGCCGTTTTGGTTTTCACCATTGGATTTTCATCCAGCAGATCGCTCTCTGTAGAGCGATCTGCGGTGGCCCCCGAAAGGACCCTAGGAGGTATTTGAGGTTTATCTTTTAAATCGACCTCTCGATCTTCCTCTTCCATTTCTTTTTTCATCAGAGCCCCTCCCAAAACTCTGATGATCTGTGGATCTTGTGCTTCTACGTGTCTGCGTCGATCCCTCTGTCGCTGACACTTCAATCCCAGGTTCTTGCTTGATCTTGACATCTTCGCCAGTGGACTCACAGTGAAATCCAGAGGCCTCAGAAGATCCGGGCACGCGCGCCATTGTGGTGAAGTCGATCTCACAAAATCGCTTTAGTGAGTGTCGATCTTCCACTTGCCCAGACTTGCCGACTCGCGGAGGGGGTACTCCGATCCGTGCCTTGCTGTATAACCTTGTGCTCACCTTGTGTACCCGTCGGTTGGGCTGGTTTGAGCTCTTCGTAATGGCCTTGGGAGATGTCGATCTCGCTGAGGGTTTGGGGTTGAGCGTTCGCTTCCGGTGCGGAAATCTTCACACCACGAACGGGGTTGTGCGATCCTGATCTTGAGTCGCGGAGATCTCTTTTTGGAGATGTCGCGATCTCGATCTTGAATCACACCGATCCCGATTTGTCTTCGGGATCGGGGTCTTCGCTGTGCGGAAATCTTCACTCAGCAAATAATAGTCTTGCGTCGATCTTGCCTTGGGATTGGTCTGATCTGGTCTTGGGATCGGCCGATCTTGCTGGAAGTGCGCAATATAGTCAAATCGGTTGCTTGTTTCGCCAAAATGAAACGTGCCGATATGTCCAGTAGATCGCTTCGATCTCGCTCGGTCTTGTCTTGAACGCCTTGTCCAGATCTTCTGACCACTTGAGCCGTCTCGCGATCTTGTAACCAAAATCCTTTTCATTTTCCTTTGTTGTGTTGCTGCTACCCTAGCAGTTTGAATTGAGTTGAGTTACCTTAACCCCACCTTGGCCAACCAATCCAAGGTGAGAACACGAAACACGGCGCGTGCGACGTCTCTTGATCGACGGGGGGCCAAATATCCTGCCCCGAAGAGAAGTATGCGACGTGCTTTATATGTAAAAACGGTAACTGTTTTATTATCCAACCAAATTAATAGCTATCCTATCTTTAAGCCTATTCCAAACTGTAGGTCACTCTCCAAGTCGATATCACCTTTAAGCTTGACCGCCCCCTTGAACACGTGTCGAAATCCCGTGACCTGTGCTCCAAAGATAGCGCCAATACTCCCGATATCGTACCTAGACACCAAAAAAGGGAGCAAATTTCAAATGCGGTACCTAATACCCAATTTTGGTACCGAAAAGTCCAAAATAGTATCCAAATGCCGAATGTGTCTAAATCCATTTTGCGACGTCAATTCAACCGGCTTCCACTGGCTCTTTCGGTCTGAACTTTTAGGACATCACTCATGGACCTTCATTAAGCATGTATATCACAATAAAATAGCTCCATCATCGATATATCCATAATCAGTAGGGAACATGACCGATCAGATGCCCAATTCGAGATCGTTGAGGGTCGGCACAGTGCGATCCGGCCCTATATGTTCTTCCGTTCGTTGTGCATGGTTCGATACCATCCTCAAGGGTTCATCCGCACAATGGGACCATCCACAGATCTCACAACGGTCCCACGGACCTCCGCGAACATCCACACTTCCAGATCGGGCTATACTTAACCTAAATCAGTACTCCCATTGGAGATCTGTGATGTGAATCTTCGATCACCTGGATGCTGCAACTTTGTCACAGATTCACGTCGCATTGCTTGGGATTAGGAGTACCTTTCTCAGTTCAGATCGGTCTTCTGGTTCAATCTAGTCCCTCGTCCCAGATCGCACCGTGGAAATCATCGATGTCTGCGACTCGTCCCAGATTGTTCCAAGAAAACCACCCCTTTCTGCGCCTCGTCTCCGACCGTTCCACGTCCATCCTTCGGCCGACCGTTGGACCGGTCCGTCGATCTCCATGGGATCACCTTCCGTTCCTCATTGAATCGCCATATCACTTTGTGCCATTTTTCAACAGTACGTGGCGCCTCAATTAGATGGCCACCGATCCATATCATACATTTTAATTAATGACTTTGCCAAAGTGACGTCTCGTCACCACTCATTGCGCGCGTCCTGCGGCGATTGGTGGGTTGATATCGTCAAGATATCAACCAATGAGCAGACCCTTTGGTCGCTTCACCAATATCACCACTATTGATGATATTGTTCAAAGAATATTCAACTTAATATTCTTTATTGTCATTGTTTCTCAAATGACAATTCCATGTAACGGGCTGCCCCGTTACAGTGCGCGTGAGCTGTTGGCACCCTTCCTCCTACCACGATGATGCGTCTGCGTACCAAGTCGCAAATCTGGAAGTGTATATTCTCAAGTGATAGGAAACCTCATGTAGATATAGTGTAAAAACGATCTTACATGGCTGCCGATACTTCGTTCGCTGAAGGTTGTTATGCGTGGAGCCAAAACATTTCAGTGGCCGATCAAACGCTTTCGATGGGTCGCCAAAATGGTTTTTTCATCAGTCCAATAAAACAAGAACTTGTCCGGACCCGTGGTTTCCATGATCACACATCAACTGCTCGACTGAGTCCCACTATAGGGTACCGCATTGCGGCTCTACGTGACAAAGAAAAAAGCAAGCCTAGTCTGATCCCATCAACACAGTTTCACTAAAAAGCAGTTTTCGCCTGTCAAGATTGGAATGGTGCGGGCCCGTGATGATACATATCCATGTGGTGCACATCAACCTGTACGACCGCTGGCATTTCCGTCATCGGTCCCAATATGGAGACGCCACCGAAAGAAAAGAACGCCGAGTCGGCGCAGTCCAAGCAGCTGCACGCGCGCCTCAAGCGCCAGATGGAGAGCGAAATGGACGTGGAAGAAACCTCAGAGATGGAGCGCATGGGCGACGAAGTGCCAGTGCACGCAGCGGCGATGAAGCCACTGGCCGACGACTTTGACGACGACGATCTCAGCTGAGCAGATATGCGGCGACGGACTGTACGGAGTGAAAGCGTGAGGCTGTCCCAGTAGAAGCAGGAAGGCACAAACAACAGGACCAAGCGACGTACACCGATGCAGCAGCAGTCGACACCACTCCTCCGCTTCAAACGTCCTTCTCTGTCATCAACTGCAGCTGCTCTAGACGCGTCCAATCTCCTTAATGGCCGTAAAGAAGGCGCAGTTATAGACCGTCCTCATCATACTTTTGACGTTGTCCGTGTACAGACACTCGCGCTGCGACTCTTTCTGAATGCGAAAGTTGTACGTGCTCATGACGTGTTTGATCTCCTCGTACGAGAGCTCGACTGACTGCTCATAGCGCTCGTCATCGCCACCGCTACCGTCTTGCCAGTGGTAAAGCAGGGGACCCAGATTGATCCAGTAGCCACCAGGCTTGAGCAAACGATCGAACGCTGCAATGTACTCGATCACGTTTGGTGCGGCATCGATGAAGAAGCACGTCACAATGCAGTCCCAACATTCTGCAGCATAAGATGGCACACGTCAGTCAGTCTCCACGTTTCTGTCGACAAAACGGGATATGTGGACCACCTTTGTCGTTCGCGTACGCCTCCAAAAACTCGCCGGCACACATCGAAAAGTCGATGGGCATCGCTGCCCCAGAGTTGAGACCCAACAGCTCTGCCGGTGCTACATCCGGAATCGCCACTGGGCGCAACAGATCCGTGACCGTCAGCGCATTCGATGGGTTGTGGATCCACGGGTGAATCTCAAACTGCAGTGGTTGCGTCACCCTAACGACACAAATGGACAGCGCACCGTGCGTCAGACCACAGCGACGAACAAAGTGAACACTATGGCGAGCCTACCAGTTGAGGATGAAGTTGCTTGCAAACAGCATCTGATACGAAAACTCATTGCCCTGAGCCGCGTAGCCCTTCGAAGCAATCTCCAGTGCCAGTCGTCCCAATCCTGCTCCAGGCAGCAGCACTCGAGGTCGATCGGTTCTGCATGCCAACAATCCAACGCGCAGTAAAACGTTAGCAAGGCGTCTGGTTGGCACGTGAAGAACCAGCAGGACCATGAAATGTCCCTACGGGTTGTCTGCACTCGTCGGCAAGACGCGACGCAGTTCCTTGATGATGGGGGTGTAGCACATATCACGCTCTTTCTTGCCCTAGAGCAGCAAGCACCACGTACGTTCACATCATTGAGCACAGCGACGGCAGCGATCGTGTCATCCATTCAGTTGCCATTCAACATTCCACGTCCATATGGCGACGCACCTCATCGGACCAGTCGCGCACGAACTGGTGCAACGTGCTCTTGAGCTTGGAAAAGTGGCGTGGAGGACTCTGCAGCGGCGTCTTGGGCGTCACAACGGGCAGGTCATAGGCCGGTCCCGTCTCGAGCTGCGCCTGCACCACGCGCTCGAAGAAGACCTGGTTATAGTGCGCCGCGTTGACAAAGTGGTGGAGATTGCGGAGCGTGGAGGACTGCGGCAGGCGCCGCTGCATGTCGATGGGCATGGACTGCATGTGCTTCTTCCGCCTGTAGATCTCGCGCATCATGAACGCCTCATACTCGCGGAACGACAGCAGCACCGACTTGTAGTGCTCTTGTTCCTCGGGGTCGTGCTCCATCGCGGCGGAGGGCGGAGTAGTTTGGTGTGGCGCACCAAAGAGTGGTGTGCGGTACACCACAAAAGCAATCAGTCGTCCGCACGCGATCACACACCATGTCCCAAGGCCGCATCCTGCCGCTCGGTGAGCGCCGCGACGACGTCTGTTCCTTGGCGTCCGTGTGCAGAACGACACTGACGCCGTTGTGTTGTGGTGTGCTGTGTGCTCTGCGGTGGTGTGCTGTGTTGTGGTGTTGTGCGCTGTGTATCTGATGCGCAGAGCTCATTGACAAGTGCATTGGCTCGAAGCTCTGGATCGTCATGAAAGGCGACAAGGAGTTCCTCGGAACGCTTCGCGGATTCGACGACTATGTCAGTGAGTGATGCAGAGAGATAGTCGTTCAGTAGTCTGTCGTGGCTCGTGCGCGGTGGTGCTACAGCCCAATCAGATACACGAGGGAGTGACCGACCGCTGTTCATCTGTGCTGCTGCTCATGCGTGTGACTTCGTGCTCTAGACATGGTGCTGGACGACGTCACTGAGTTGTACGTTGTTGCGCAGATGGACACAAAGACGTTGGGATCGTTGCAGACTGAACGTGCGAGACGGCCGGTATGCTGACTGCTTCGTATGGGGTTGCAGTGAAATCACTCCAGAGGGAAAGCGTGAGGTGAAACTGGACCAGGTGCTGCTGAACGGCAACAACGTCTGTCTGGTACGCGGCCGTTGCACTCACTCGCTCGCCCACCGATGTCGTGTCCGCGTCTCGTGACTAATCGTGTGCTGCGACGGACGGACGGACGTCTGTTGTGCCTGCTGCAGCTCGTGCCTGGAGGATTCCCGACTACATCTTAGGCAGTTGTTGCTGGCAACGTGGCAACACCGATGGCTTTGTCGTGTCCGATGAGAACGACAGCAACGGGAGTGCGCTACGCATTGGCTCTAACCTGTGCAGCAACAGACATGACGTCGACAAAACGAGACCAGAACGATCTCGTGGCGACCTGCGCTGCTCGTTTGCACCCACGAATGACACGACGAGAGGCACCCACGACCAAACACTCGTCTCTATTCTCTTCTTGTCGCCATCCAACTGCATGTAACCCCTCTCGTCGTCCTTGCTGCGGGCGCCCGTGTAGCCGACCGCACGTGCTTTACTTCTTGGCCTTCTCCGCATTAGCTGCCTTCACGGACCGACGATTGAGCAGCACAATGTAGCGGTGCTGGGCCTCCATCTCGAGATTGTCAAAGCCCGTGCGCTCCAGTTCCCCGAGCGTGAGCTGCGGGTCCAGCAGCGTGAAGAGCCACGCGGGGTACTCGGCTCTGTCCAGCAGACTCGGGTGCGTGCCGTCCTTGAGTATGTTCGTCGGCACGACCTTTGTCAGGTCCACGGCCTCCTCGACGGCAGCAGCTCCGCCCTTTCCCTTGGCCGCAAACGACCGCACGCCCGTCGTCGTGCAATTCGCGTTGCAGCGGCCCGCGAGTCGCCACGTCGTCGCCAGCATTTCGTCTGCTCGCAGACTTCCAACACACGCCGTCCCGCACGCACTGGTGGCGGAAGGTCGAAATGCGCTTTGACAGGAGTCCTGCGGTGGAGGGGATGTGTAAACTGATACGTCCCTCATAGTTGATCACTCGTTTGCCTCCACTGACGCCGCCCTCGATCGAGCAGTGTAAACGAATAATACCCTCATAATTGATCACGGGGCTGCAGGTGCTCCACATGGGTGGCAAGCCGAAGAAGCGGAAGAGCGGCCGCTCGTCGAACGCCTGCGCTCTGCAGGCGTTCGCCCAGACATGTGCGAACGGTATGGAGTCCCGCAAGGAGAAGAAGCACAAGAACCTGCGGCGCATGCGCGTCGTGCAGCTCCAGCGGTTAGTGGACCGCAAGCTGCAGGAGCTGCGCGCGTTCCCGACACATCCGGTGGCGCCGAAAGCCCCCGCGCGCAAAGGACCAACGTCCCCGTCGCAGTGGCGACTCAAGGGCGCGGCTCGACCGGCTGCGCTGCTGGCGAAGATTGCAGCAGGTGAGTTGGACGAACTGGGCAACGAGTACCCGAAGCCGGTGGAGACGTTCGATTTGTATGAAGAGGTGCTGCAGGAAGGGCGACTGGCAGAGCACGAGGATACGAAGGACTACGTCGGGTACGATCGAGAGATTGATGGTCGTTGTGCTGCTGTCATTGTCGCGCTAACGTGGCTGACTGCGGCGTCTGCGTGTTTGTTTGTTTGTTTCGTTGCAGTCTGTTGAAACAACTTGCTGCTGCTTGTTGCGACGCTGGCATGTGCAACCGCGGCATCCAGAACTACGAGCTGTGCATGAGCTTAGACAAGACGGACTCGTTTCGGTCGCGAGAGGGACTCGCGTGTGCGCTGGTGGACGAAGGTCGGGGTCTGGAGGCACGGGCTCTGATCGAACAGCAACAGGATCTGGATTCGGCGGTACTAGCGTACTGCCAAGTGATCATCGAGTACGTGTCGTGGGAGGTACTGGAAGAAGAAGGATCGTCCGAGGAGGTCGTGCAAGCAGCGTTTCGCAAGGCGTTTCGACTGAACCCGTTCATTGCTGTGGTCATTGCTTACCACGAAACGTTTTTTCAAGTGATGGAGTACGTGGAGGACATCAAGGATGCTACGCGAGGGTCCATTGAAGAGGCGTTCGTGTATGTTTCGCAGCACATTGGCGTTTGGATCGACACGGTCGGTGCTTATGAATGGATTGAGAAAGAGCTGAATGAGCTTTCGGAGCCTGCTGCAACGAAAGAGGACGTTTCTGATGAGATGTACCTGGGCATGTACAATACGGCCATCGGGATGCACAAGGAGTCGCTCGCTGAAGCTGAAGCTGAAGCCGCTGCTATATCTGAAGCAGCGGAAGGCAGCGATGCGTCGGTCTGCGAAGGTGACGAGTTTGACGAGTACGAGCCCGATGACATTGACGGTGGAGACGACTAGGGCGCACGCAGTATTGATGGGCACGGGGCGCAACCTGATGAAGTATGTGCATTGCTGATGGCGCAAAGGTACTGGTTGAGAGGCTACGCGTCCCTGTGTGCAGTCACGTGCGTGAACTTATGGTGGGCTGGTGCACTGATTGTGTACGCGCGTCTGACGCGCAGTGCATTTCGTGGCCGCCGAAGCTTTTACTCGCTATAACGACCGCAGATTTCGCCGCTGGTAGTGGTACCAGATGCTTTGCAACGAGCTGTGTAGTCAGGTGCTTTATTCATGCCAAGGGCCAAAACGTTTCTGATACCAGTTCGTACCTTCGACGCTCCTACAGTATGTTGGGCAGTGCATCGTGCGTAAAGCTGTATTGCAGACGGCAACAACATCTTGCGGATATGTACATGCATGCTTGCTTGGCAAACCTAAATACGGATGACTTTCTTCTTTGCCAGTCGTAGCAAGACATATGGACTTGCTTCTAGTAGGCGCAGTCGAGTCTGGATGCGAATGCATTACATGCAACAGCTTTGGCTCACAGCAATGTGTTTCGCACATAGCAATCGAGGGCATAAACGCATGATCAGGTGCAAACGCATGGCAACCACTGCTTTCGACGCTTGGCAAAGTCTGATATTGTTGAGCAGCGTTTTTTCTACGCTTATAGAAAGGATGAGCTCGTTCTCGGCAATATTTTATCAGAAAATCCTCTTGGATGTGTCGTAAATCAGTACGCACCGATCGAGATCAAATGACGACTGGCTTTGTGGAAAACTCGAGTAATATAACATACGACTCGTCGTGCGAATGTAAAAACGAATGATCCACATCGACACGTTATAAGCTTCGACGATGTCAACGGGCAGGACAACTGCTTCCAGATATTGTCACGCTCGATCTTTGTCGACGATCATTATGTAGCTAAGTTGTATGCAAACTTAGTTGTCACTTCTTCCACATGACAGTGAACATGAAAGGGCTCGTCTAGCCAAGAGTCATTGCGCTTCTATTGGCATATCTATCAGCAACTAAACCCGTCCTTCCTATCCATTAGGTGCCTTTGTGCAGAAAGACCCAGCCATTTCTATACTTCGTGGTCGAGCTTTGTTCCAGATCATGACAAACCCACCCTCGCTGGGTTTTATCGCGAGTCGAAATCGATGCAAACGACGCAGGATTATGCTGAGCACGCCCAACCCATCATAAAGCATCAGCAGCACACGACAAGGTTACGTTTATCGTACTCATCAATACCCCTCGTCCAAAACTCGACGCGAGACCACATTATGGCGGCGCTGAAGGAGCAGGTGGAGGCCGAGATGGCGCGCTACCGAGTGCTGCAGGACGAGGTGCAGGTGCTGGCCACGAAGCGGCAGACGTTCGCCCAGCAGGCCAACGAGAACGACATGGTGAAGAAGGAGCTGGACCTGCTGGACGACGAGGCCAAGGTGTACAAGCTCGTGGGCCCCGTGTTGCTGAAGCAGGACGTGGACGAGGCCAAGAGCAACGTCAGCAAACGCCTCGAGTTCATTAACAACGAGCTGTAAGGATACGATGACGGCAGTAGGGACTTGAGGGAGTGGGTGTGGAGTCGTGACGGTGGTCTGTCGTGCTTACAGGGGCAAAGTGACCACGAAGATCGAGGCCACGGAGAAGGAGGCGGTCGGGATTCGGACCAACGTATGGCCATGTAGCTGTGTAGATGGGCCTTGTGCTTTGTTCTCACGCGCTGTGTCGTGTCTTGCTTGCTACTGCTGTGCAGATCTCGAACATGCAGATGGAGATGCAGAAGCAGGCTGCAGAAGCTGCCCGGGGTGCCGTCGCGACTTATTAGATCGGAGCAGGGCTGGCGAGAGTAACGATAAGTCCTCTTTCTCGGCGTAATTGTGTGTCTATGAGCTGTATGTACTGTTTGCAGATTGTCTACTGACTAGAGCTCTAGAGCTTCGAGCGAGTGCGGTCTCGCACCAAGCAGCTCTGACGGCACGAGTTGTGCGACCTCTTGCAGGGTGGTACGTGCCACAGGGGTGGCGTGGAGGGTGTGGCGTCCAGCTTCGCAGACGCGTACCAGCACGTAGTCGCCACGAGCAGCGTGGATGCCCTCTGCTACGACACTCTGCAGAGGAAGAAAGTCAGGAGCCAACTCGCCTGCCTGCTTGGCGAAAGTACGTAGCGAGGCCGGCATTCTCTGGTCGGGAAACACGCAGCGCTTGCCTGTATCGGTGAGACCAGTGAGCTTCGGGTCATCCTCCGTGGACCGGCGGCTGGCGCCCTGCACAAGTACAACATGCAGACGGTCCGAGTCCTCGACGTAGTTCTTGCGCGTGACCACCTCGCTGAACGTGTCAATGACCTCGCGCAGACGCCGCAGCTTGTCTTCTTGGGACACGTCGTCTACCATATGGTGTGCCGCGTGCGTACGGCCACGAACCGAGTAGGCAAACATGAAAGCCTGGTCGTAGCATACCTGGCGCATCAGTGAGATCGTGTCGGCGTGCTCCTCTTCCGTCTCACCACAGAACCCAGCGATAAAGTCGGACGATATCGCTACACCAGGAATACGAGCACGCATGTTGTCCAGAAGCTCTAGATAGGCCATACGCGAGTACCCACGACGCATGCGTTTCAGCACCGTGGTACTGCCGCTTTGAGCCGGCATGTGGATCTGCCGGCAAATGTTGGGCCGTTCATTCACGAGGTCCAGCACTTCGTTCGGAAAGTCCTTGGGGTGAGGCGATGTAAAGCGGAGCCGCATCTCGGAATCTACGCGTGACACTTCATCCAGCAGGTCAGCAAAGCGGAAGCCAGGTGCGTCGCGAGAGCGAAACATATTGCTGAACCCAGCAGACGACACGTAGCCGCGTCCTTTTTCCGCAGCACCTTCAGACTTCTTGTCGTGGTACGAGTTGACGTTCTGGCCAAGCAGCACAACCTCCTTAATGCCCTGATCACTCAGCGCACGCACCTCGTCGACAATGGAGCTCATGATGCGGCTACGCTCGCGTCCACGCGTAAACGGCACAATGCAGTAAGAGCACATGTTGTTGCACCCACGCATGATCGACACGAAAGCCGATGGGCTGTGAGGATCTGCACGCACGGGTGCAATGTCCGCGTACGTCTCGTCGAGCGACAGCTGGACATTGACAGCAGCTTCGCCGCTGCCGTGCACCACTCGCAGCAAATTGGGAATATCGCGGTACGCATCAGGGCCCACGACCAAGTCGACCATCTTGTCGGACTCGAGCAGCTTCGTCTTGAGGCGCTCGGCCATACAGCCCAGCACGCCGACCGTCTGCACGTCCTTGTGTTTCAAGCGCAAGAGCTTGGCTTTCGTCTGCCGCAGCGACTCGAGACGGTTCCACACTTTGGCTTCAGCGTTCTCACGCACGGCGCACGTGTTGATCAGCACAATGTCCGCCGTCTCCACTGTGCGTGCGGGCACGTAGCCGTCTCGCAGCAGAATTGCACGCACGATCTCGGAATCGGCCGAGTTCATTTGGCAGCCGTACGTCTCAATGATAAAGGAGCGACGCTGCCGTAGCTGCTCGTCCGCCAGCTCTTCCAGCGAGCGCACAGTGCCAAGCATTGGCACGGGAAAGTTCATCTCGCTCGACGCTTGCACTGCCTCTGCTGTCGTCGCATGCTCGCGTCCCGTCTGCGACTCGCGCAGAAAGTCACCGAAACTCGGACCGTCGCCCAGTCGGCCGGCGCTCCTCTGCGCGGTCGCCTCTGTCCGCGCACGAACACTAGTAGAGCTGCTCCTGCTCCTGCTGCTCCTGCTCCTACTGCTGCTGCTCTGCTCCCTACTGCTGCGGCTGCTGCTCTCTGACGGAAGGGAAGCACAGGGCGCTGTCAGCTACGACAGAGGCGACGGCTCGGCGTGCGCAGCGCGTGAAGCACGAGACCTGCATAGCTCCACTCGAACGGCGACGACGAACAGACTGACCAATGAAATGGTGCGACAGTCACGAGTTGTCAAGTGGCAACAAACGTCGAGCGAGGGCGGGAGGGGGCGGTCGGTCGGTCGGTCGATGGTGTTAGGTGTTTTGGGGGCACGAACACAGGGTACGTTTTGGGTCAAGTGCGGGTAACCGTGTAACCCCATGGTTACAGCCGTTTCGCATGCCCGCAACAACAACGTGGGGCTGTTCGCGCTGCACGTTCGAGAATGACGGCCGCGCGCGCCAATGCGCCATGTGTCTGAGCGATCGTATGTCGATGTCGCTGTCTGGAGCGACGTCGGAGGAGGTGCCGACTGTAGTGAAGTCCGATCGGTGCGGTCTGCAGACGGCAACAGAGGACGCGAAGGAGGAGACGAAGCAGCAGGCGGCGCTGCAGTCGCCGTCTCTACTGCTCGTTGGGGTCGGCAGTTCGCCCGAAAAAGAGCGCCGGCGCGTGCAGAAGAAGCTGCAGCAACTCAAGGAACTGGGCATTGGACTGCCCGATGACGAGCTGCTGACGTTGCTGCAGCGCAACTGCTTCAGTGTGTCAGGGGCAGCGTCCGCGTACTTTGAGCGACAGGAGCAGCGCGAGGCAGTGGCCAGTAGTGCTGGTCCAGAAGATGAAGCAATGAAGCGGAGGATGGAGCAGCTGCTGGGAAAGCTGGACAGGAAGACGGGGGACTTTGAGGTGCTGGGCAAGACGTCCATGCAGGCTCTGGTGAACCGCCCGGGCGTTCAGCTTCACGCAGGTGCGGAACTGCTATTGCAGGCGGAAAATGCAGGTAAGAAGAGGATGAGACCTGGACCGTCGGCTAGTTCCACAGTGTCAGGGATCGTGAGGATTGCTACCGCGCAGCACGCACAGATTGGGCGCCTCGAGAGGAGCATGGAGCTGCTGTTGCACCCGTTGATGAAAAGCGGACTTGTGAAACTCGCAGGAATGTGCGAGATATCGCCCGCGTCTTCGCGCATGTTTGCGTCTTTCGATGTAGGTGCAATGAGTTGTGCTGGCTACTGGCTGGCTGCTGTGTCTTAGCCGAGTGTCGGTGGTAATGGTGTATGTTGTAGGTGACTGTGTTCATCTATATCAAGAGGAGCGCGTTCGACGTGTTCGCGGAAGGCAACCCGAACTTCCATCTCTCAGACCATCTGTACGACTTGCTCCAAAAGGTCAATGGAGCTGAAGCGCCTTTTGTAGACGCGACAGCGTCCCAATCAAGCTCTGGACCGGATGGTCAGTCGTCTCAGGTGAACGTCGGAGACCTGGACGCTCTTTTCTCAGAGTGCGGGGAAAGGGACCTCCACGATGTGGCTGATAGCGTGGACGAGGTGGATCCATCGGAGCACCTTGTAGAGTACCTAAATGAGACCAAGCTGCGAGACCATCAAAAACAAGCCCTAAGATGGATGTTGTGGCGAGAAGACCAACTGAGGGATGGCGCACGTGAGCAGCAGATCGACGATCTTGTCAGTAGGCATCTAACACCAGGATTGACGGTCAACGCGCTAATCGAAGCTGTGTTTCTTTGGCTAGATGTGGAAGGAGTGTCGATTTCGATCGCATGGCACATACTTTGTGAACCCATTTGAAAAGAGTGCGTCGCTCACTCGGCCAAAACCCCCTGCTCCTTGTCTGGGCGGAATCTTGGCAGATGACATGGGAATGGGTAAGGCAGTTTGATGTCCGCGCGTTGATGCAGATGAGATGCAACTGACGGATCCGTGAATGCTTCGCAGGTAAAACAATGATGATGCTTTCGCTAATAGCTTATCAGAAGCACGTCGGTGGGGCAAAGTCTGGCGACAACGACTCAGCAAGCCGGGGAAGCAGGAAGGCGACGGGAAAGACTCTGGTGGTTTGTCCGCTGAGTTTGCTTCACCAGTGGAAAAATGAAGCGTTCGAACGCTTTCGCCCCAACACTCTGAGCGTTTGCTTACACTACGGTGACGACCGCGACGCAAACTCTGGTCTCACTACGCCGCGTCTCAGCAAAAGCGACATAGTGCTCACCACATACGGAGTGCTATCAGCAGAGTTCAGCAGGAATGGCCCCGTCATGACGACCACTTGGGACCGTGTCATTCTTGACGAAGCTCATAGCATCAAGAACAGGTCCGCCGGCTATTTCAAGACGTGCTCGGCCTTGAAAGCTACACATCGATGGTGTCTGACTGGCACGCCCATTCAGAATACTCTGGACGATATGTTTTCACTGCTTTGCTTCCTCCAGTATCAGCCCTGGTCTCGAGTCGCTTGGTGGAAGAGAGTGATCATAAAGCCGTACGAAGATGGCAATGATGCAAACACGCTTGGCCGCCTGAAGGCGATTTTGACGCCAATATTGCTTCGTCGCACGAAGCGTTCACGGGACAAGCAGGGCAACATGATTGTCCAGCTACCACCGAAGCACGTTGACTTGGTAGAGCTGGAGTTTTCCTCGGACGAGCGTGCCTTCTACCAAGCAGTATATGACCAAAGCAGGGCAGAGTTCAATGGTTTTGTTGCGAGCGGTGCAGCGATGACAAGTTACGTCGCCATTTTTGCCCTGTTGCTCCGTCTCCGCCAAGCCTGCGACCACCCTTTGCTTGCGCTTGGCAAAGACTTCGAGCAAACGTTAAAGTCTGACGACAAGCGCGTAGACGCTGCAGCACAAGCCAAGCCAGCTTTCCAGCCTCAAGCAGGTGAGAGCCCCAAAGCGTACTACTCGCGCATTGCCGCCCAGTTACAGAAAAACATGCAAGCCAGCATTTGGCCACAGCTCTTTCAAGGCGAAGGTGACGGATCCGGCAACGGGTCCATCATGACGGGTGGGCTAACGTCTTCCTACATTCAGAACGTGATAGCTCAGGTCGAAGACGACTTGGATTCCCAGGAGTGCCCGATTTGCTTGGACCCGCCGCGCGACGCCGTCTTGACACCATGCGCCCACGTACTGTGCGACCAGTGTCTTCGAGATAGTCTGGCAAACGATCCCGAGGACGGTTGCCCCGTGTGCCGGACCGTGGTCGACATTGCGAAGGTGTACAAGCTGCCACCCGCTTCTGCATCGAAGACAGAGGACGATGAACACCGCAAGGACAGCAGTCTGATCGACATGGCCACTGATGTTGTGGCCTCTGCGACTAGAGGCGACACCGGTAGTTGTTCGAGCTTCGAGTCTGCCAAGCTGCAGCAGCTGCTCCGTGATCTGAACCTGATCAAGTCCGAGAATCGCAATACCACGTCGCCCAAGCAGAAGCGAAAAGTGGTCGTCTTCTCCCAGTGGACGTCCATGCTGCACATGGTGTCGCAGCTCCTCTCGCGTCACGGGTTCTCGCACTGCACGTTCAACGGCGGACTCAACCAGGAGGCACGCGAGCGCGTGCTGACCAAGTTCGCTACAGATCCGGACGTTGAGGTCCTCGTCATCAGCCTGCGAGCCGGCGGCGTAGGCCTCAACCTCACGTGCGCATCCGTGGTGATCCTCCTGGACCCGTGGTGGAATCCTGGCGTCGAGGAGCAGGCGATCGACCGCGTGCATCGGCTGGGCCAGACGCAAGACGTTCTGGTGAAGCGCTACGTGGTCAAGGACACGGTCGAGGACATGATCTTGGAGCTGCAGCAGCGCAAGCAGAAGCTGGCGACGCACGTGCTCGTGGTCGCTAAGGCGTACGACGAGCAGCAACGCAGCGAGCGCCTGAACTTGGCCGACCTGCGCAGCTTCTTCCGCTGAAGTCAGTCGGTCGGTCCATCGGTCCGCCGTTTGTCCAAGATGGCTACATTCGTTTCGCGTATACCGTCTACTTTATCTGTACATAAAAGGGGTATGAGTGTATGCAAGTGGGTGTACATCAAAATGGCTACAAACCAGTGGCTCACCCGCGCGAATTCAAACCCCAACGTGTCCATTGATCGATCATTGACAGGCCCTGTGCCGCCGCCGCCCTCTCTCGCGCCCGCTACAATGCTCACGCGGTCGCGCGCCAAGGCGTCCAAGCAGCCCGTGTTCATCGACGACCAGTGGAACGACGCGTACATCCAGACGAAGGACGAGCAGATCGACGCGATGCTGGCGGCCGACGCGTCGACGCGCAGTTGGGACGAGCTCGAGGAAGAACACTCGGACGACAGCGAGGGCAACGACGAAGACGGCGACGTGTGGCGCTCGGACTCGGACGAGTCGGAGGACAATGACGACGATTGGCTCGTGCGTCCAGGCGCGTCGACGGCGCCCAGTTTCGCGCAGCAGTGGCTCGCGAGCGGCTCTTTGCTGCAAAACGTGATCTGGACGCTCGCTGTCGTGCTGGTAGCGCCTGTGCTGCTGTACGTGTCGGTGCCTCATCACACGGAGAAGCTGTGGCCGCTGCAGAGTCCACGACTGGCTGCGATGCTGCTGAAAGTGCTGCTGAACGTCCTGACGCTGACGGCTGTAGCGATGGCGCTGTACGGCGTGTCCTGTAGCTCCAAGCCCCTGACACTGAGCTCTGTGATGAACTGGAGACAACTGCAGCTCGAGCCGCCTGCAGAGTGCGGAGAGCGCTTGCTGGACGACGGAGCGGGGCTTCTGTTGCTGGTTAAGGAAGTGGTGGCCGTTGCACTGAACTCAGACGCGCCGTTGGGGCAGCTGGACGACAGCGTTCGGGCACTTGTGATGAGCATCGATGTGTCTGTGGTGCGGCAACTGGTGGTGCTGGTTGCCGGCGTGTTGGTGACGGGCATTTGCTTCCACCGTTTGTGGACCAAGATGCTGGTGTTGCTGCTCGCTGCGAGTATTGTGGCACTGAACGTGGTGACGGAACTGAAGATGCAACAGCGAGCCGCTGTCGAGATCTTCTCGCTGGACCCCACCTTTGCTTTTGTCAACGAGAGCATCTTTGTGAGTGTCGCCAAGAGAGATGGCATTTGCCTTTTGCTTGGCTTTCTATGACAAAGCGATCGCTAACTGCAATATGCTCTCGATGTGTCGGAACAGGTTGCTATCGACGGACAGAATCTTGAGGAGGGCGGGTCTGTAGCATGGGCGTCCTATTGGGGAGGGGTGCAGCTGAAGCAGGCGCAACTCTGCTCGAAGCTCTACCCGCAGCAGCTTAGCAACGGTGGTGTGCTTGTGACGTTTAATCATGTCAACGAGTACATTCCGTGCTACCTTGGCGCGAAGGAGACTGCTTCTGCTGTTATAATCGACGGCGAAATCCAGCCCTCGAAGGCATTTCAGTGTTTCGAGAGCATCCGGCTGCGTGTCAAAGATCAGAAAAGCGTGCCAGGCTGGTCACTTACTCAGCACGAGCAGGAGGAAGCAATTTCGACGGAGAAGCAAGAACTGTGAGTTTCTTGGTGTGATTGGCGTTAGTTGGACTGTAGCTGGTCACGATGACGACTCGCGTATATTTCCGTCAATTTAAAGATTTATGAAAACTAGTGTACTGGAGTGTGCTGGGAGAAGCGAAGAAACGGCAGTCTTTGTGTCATGTGGCTCCAGTCGTCAATGGTCAGCGCTTCGATGCACTGTCCATATACCGAGAAGCTACATACACGTGTTTCGTGCGCTGCGCTTTCCGAGGTGTCGTCCTGACCTCAGTCACGTTTGCTTCGTCTGCCTCCAGCCTCCGCTTCACAAACGGCCCGTCTTCCCCGTCGCCTGATCGAATCTCCTTGCCAACACTTTTCGCGCAAGGACTGCTACTGCCAATCTCGCCCCCAACTTGCCGGGCCGGCAACGAAGCGCAACTCTTTCCTTTTCGGGAGGCCATACGCTCCATTGCTAGCTTCGCCTTCTCGTACTCAGCACGAAGTGTCTGGTTCTCCGTCTCAAGTCGACTGTGTAAACGGAGCTGCCGTTTCATTGCACCCGCTTTTGCTTTCATTTGCCCCAATGCTGCCGTGAGGACTTCCCGCTTGTTAATTTGCTGGACCACAAGCGCTTTGAGCATCGTGGGCTCGACGCCTTGCGATAGACCAGTTAGCGTATCTTCGCCTTCCTTCATCTGTAGCAGTTCCGCCAGCTCAATATGGAACGCCTGCACACGAGCCAATTCACCTTCGCACTTTGCCACTTCGAGCTGCAAAGCGCGTTCTCGACAGCTCCACGTCTCTTCCTGCGCTTGCAGCATCTCCTGCGACTCCCTTGTCAACCGCTGCTCTGTCTCTGCTATCGCCTGCTTCTTCTTCCTCAGCTCCTCCTCGACCACTTTCTGCATCTGAAGAACTTCCTGCTCCAGCGCACGCACTGTCTGTTCCTTTTCTTTGGCCACCTCGTCTCGTTCGTCCAGCCCCCTCCGCATGCTGTCATTCTCCGTCTCTGCCTCCACCGCTCTCTGCGTGCTCTCTGCTGCCACCGACTTGGCGGACTCCAAGTGCACTCGCAGCGTCGCATGTTCCTCCGTCAGCTTGACCAGTCGCTGCTTCGTCTCGGCTTCCGCCTCTTTCACAGCACGGAGTTCCGCCTCCACCTTCGCCGCCTCGTCGTGTCGCGCATGTACCTCTCCCCTCAATGCCGCCGCCTGCTCCTGCGCCGCCTGCAGCTGTTTCTGCAACTGCCTCACATCGTCCCGTGTCACGCCTTCCTCTGCTCTCCTCTGCGCCTCAAACGTCTGCCGCGTCGTCTCCAACTCGGCCCTCAGCTCACAGATCTGCATCTCGCGCCGCTTGGCCACTTGTCGCTCCGCACAGCTCCTGCGCGCCGCCTCGGCCACCTCCAGCGTCAGCTGATCGACTCGGTCCGCCAGCATCGCCTCTCGGCCGGTCGCCGCCTCCAACTGCCGCTGCAACTCGTCGCCTCGCCGCTTCTCGTCGTCCAGTTGCTGCGCCACCGCCTGCAGCGCGTCCGTCGCCGCCCTCGTCTGCGTCTTGCTGAGCTTCCAGGCCTCGTCCAGCTGCAGCATCCCGCGCATCGACTGCTCGTACTTCCGCTCGAGCGTCTGGAGCGCCGTCTCCCGCGTCTTGAGCGTCGCCTGCGCTTCCCCCAGCGCCGTCTGCAGCGCGAACGCTTCGGCCTCGAGCTCTGCTGCCGTCGCGTCGCCGCCCACCCGCAGACGCAGACGCTCGCGCAGGTGCGCCGCCTCAATCTTCACGTCCATGAGCTCGCGCGCCACCCGCTCCGCCTCCTGCTGCTGTGACCGCAGACCTCCTCGCTCCATGGCGTTGAATGTCAACTGCGGGGCAAACCCTCTGAATACCGATTATTCATTTCTATCGGGTTTGCCAGTTGGCTCAATACGCACACTCTTTTGTATTGATATCCTTCTCCCCGAAGCGTCGCCTCATGGCGAACGTTCGCGTCGTGCTCAACCACGCGGCCGATAGCGGCGAGAAGACAGACTCGTCTTGCGAGTCACAGTTCGAAGGTATGAAAACGTGACAACCGCAACTTGTCGTCGAACCTGTGATCCTTTGTGGTGCGATGCCAGTGCTTGTACTATAGCCAGCCCAGTTACGACACAACCTCATCATCTATATCCGGCCTGGGCTGGCCGCAATCTGGTAGACGTTGTCTTGTAACTTTGCGGTATCTCTGGAGCTGCTGTAAAGCACATTGCGGGCAGAACCGCGACATCAATGGATCACAGTCGTGATTATAGTACCTTTGGTCTTTTCGTACGAGATACGCAGCCCAACGCGTTCGTTCGCTCATATCTATCATGAACCCTCTCCACGACGTTAACCCAAATCACTCGTCGAAGACTCGCTACAACTCGAGCAAGAAAAATCTTACGAATAACAACACTTGACCACATTATCTCTGGCATTGACATTGACGTCAGCCAACAATCGCCGTCAACAGGACACAGGCAGTAGCAAAGGGCTATAGATAGTTATAAAAAAAGGTCCTATCTTTTCTTACATGATCGGGGAAACGCTAGATCCCTTCGCAAAAGCATACACAAAGCCATCGGTTTTAATGCTCGTAGTCGGCCACATGTGCTCACCACGTACCGTATTTCTCGTCAACGCGATCGTAGTAAGTGTTTTAGCGTAGTCGACAGAAGCACCTTACAATCAGTCGCTCATGCTCGGCGGGCCCCACCTCAGCTCAGCGCTCATGTCGTCACATACGTTGTTTCGATTTGGCATGCTACAAGTGCTATCAAAAACAAAGACCGCGCACGCTTGCAAGCAAGTCAACGTGCTTTCTGTCCGACACATATGCCCGACACATACAGCGTGACCAATGCCATTGTTTAAGTTTGTATCGGGGTGAGCCCGTTACCATTACACGTCACGACACTGAATTTAGTCAATCTTATTACGATCTTCATTGATAAAGCTGTAGCATACTACCAATCATGCTCTTATTTATTTACCTTAACCCGATTCCACAATATGTACTTAGCTGACGCAGATACCGAATGTATATTACCGTCGAATGTAAAGTTTGGCACTGTTTTACGCTTTGTTTGATACAGGTGATTATAGCAACCAACTAAACCACCAACCGCTGCTAGACGCGCAACAGTGGGTGGTGAGCAGATTGCTCTTTTGTTGTTCGTAAGTTTATCGTAAGTATGGTAAGATCAAAGGGTCATTATCCGGAGATTTTACCGTATCCAATGCTGTTCTACTTTTCGTATCTAGTTTTAGTGTCCGAAAAGTACATTCACCTTGCTCTACACCTAATATTTCATGAGGTTTCTAAACCTCGAAGGTACGGGTAATACATGCAAGTCGGAGCTGACTGCGGCGACAATGTGCGTCGAGCGATTCATGCGGGCTCGAAAAATTATTGTAGACCTGTATTCAAACAATAGCCCGGTGAGTTGCAAATGAATAATCAAAGCACATTGACGATCTGTGCCGCTGTCGCCAACTATTATGGAGCGATTATATCTGCAAGAAACGCAACAAATCCGCAGGGATGGTCGAAAGAAGAATTTTACGATCGAGTATGTCACAACTGATGACAATGTCACAGATGTTTTCATCACAGCTGTCGGACCACGACGATTTGAAAAGTGAAGGAAGCTGCTTGGCGTAACTTGTGTGCCTGCTGCAATGCTTGTGAATTAAGATTTCTTATACATACAGCGTGAGATTTGAAGGAGCCTGAACGCTTCATGCTCCTTCAAAACTCACGCTGTATGTATCCTATACTTCTGGGAAACAGATGCTCACGGTTCTGTCGAACTGCCTGGACTTGACTGAAGCGACCAGGAGTGATCTGTGAAGCCGAGTCTTGTACGAACCGGTGATTTTCGATTGTTGATTGATGGTTGACGTGGTCGGCAGGAGTCATGACCAGTAAGTTTTTTTCGTGAAAGCGTTTCTCCTTTTGCTATAAGCACGTTGCGTACATGTATAAGAAATGAATGTCACTTTGCTTTCTACTACTTCCTACACACTACATCCTTTGTAGCCAAGTAGTGCTACCTGAGAGCGCTAAAGGTGTTAATATCGAGGCAGATGCATATACTGTATCGGTGTAAGTAGCTTGTATGATACAACCGTCCGTGCCCGTTACAGTGAGGGTAGCCGGCGAGCTGGGCAAAGATATGCAGGCTTTGTCCGCACGTAAATTGGCATGAATGGTTGGAAGACTACATGATTGTAGTGCACCTTCCAGAAACCAAATTTAGAGATAAAAGCCAATCTGATGGCTTAGGTGATATACGACAGATAACAATCACGTTTCTACTCCATTGCGTCAGTACGTTTGCGCCAGCATCAACCGTGTAGGAGACTCGTGTACAGGAACTCTCCTGCAAGCAACAAGAGCTTCACCATGTTGTGAACTTTCTCAATAATTCTGCGTCATTGCGACTGTACTTCGCACGAACCGGGGCACAGAATGGTAGAGCAGTGTATCCGACATATGCAACTTGATCAGTAAACCGTTGACGCTGCCAAGAAAGTCACGAAAGCGCACAGATATGTGGATTCCTACAAAACTAAAAGCGTATTGCTAGCGCAGCGACCCGTGAGTGCTCCGTTGCGCGTTCCTAGACTCGAGGGAAATGTCGCACGCAAGTTTACATAATTACTACATTTCTACGAGCATGCGTTTCCGAGTTCACTTGCGCATTTCCCACACTGCCAGTGAGCGTGACAGTTTTGGCAAGTCACTCAGGTAGATGTCAGCTCGCTCTCTTACACAGGGAGTTTTTCGTGGTCAAGCCATCGACCATGTATGCATTCGCCATGCCCATCGGTTTCATCGGACGCTGAGGAAGCGTCCACAGTAATAAAACAACTGTAAATACCAAGACCTCTTTGCTCGTGACGTTGCGATCGATCGATTCTGTGCCGGACTCACTTTTTGGCTGGTCAGGACAAGGCACCACTGCTTGCAAGCCATGCGGTCAGGTTCGTATCGCCCATCTGATAACTTTTGCGCATGTGAGAACGAAGACTGCATCGTCGGCACGGGTCGCATAAAGAGCTTTCCCTTCTTCATTGCATGTACAAGTCGTCGGTATCTTTTGGCGTCTCATGTGCCCGCATGCAAAAGGTGTGCTAACGGCTAATGTTCGCAACAAAAGTACGTGCGTGAGACGAGGTTGTTAGAGAACGAATCCATCATACGACATGTTCCCAGCAACAAGGTGTAGAAGGACCAAGGAGCATCTGCTATGGTAGTAGGCGCTCATGTTATACCCTTGCAAGCCGACAATCAATCCACGAGATCTCACAAAATAGCTGCACCCCGAACCAGAAGCGTCTGTGGGATCTCCTTGCACTGCAAACACATGCGCCATTCCGAGTCATCGATTCTCACCGGACGAACAAATCGCCCGTTGTACCATTACTGCAGTTGGAACTACCGCGAGGAGATTCAGTCTAAAACACTAATCTGCGCGACGTACCCGACATCGTCTGAACAAAAGACAGTGAGCCGCTGTCACTCGAGCCGTCCTATTCGCTCACGCAAAGCGTTGCGCGTCGTTGCACAGCTGTGATGCAAATGAGCTTTAGAACGCGTGGTATCATTGTTCTGCACCTCGTCTGGCTTCACTGAAGGATGTCCATCCATCGACTTGGTGAGCAGAACAAGGCGAAGACAATGTTGGCAATGTAAAGAAGTCGCTTTGGATAGGCGTAATTCCAGAAGCCGTGTCTCGAATTCCTATGATACCGTCACAGAGAGGTCAGATTTTACAGACATGATACCAGAAGCTGTGTCTCGACATCCCCCCGTGTCATTTCCACGCCCCTTTAGCAGCGATGCAGTTTATAACGTCACCGCGAGCGCACCGTTTCTGCGCTTTTTGTCCGGTTTTACGAGACAGACTCTACACTGAACTTCATTACGACACGACTGGTACCGAACGAGGCGCCTTTAGCTACCCGATCATTGCGCGATCTCAAGTTCCTGTCGTATCAAGCTTTGCCCAATCGATGTGTCGAGACATGTTACCTCCGCGTTTCTGCATTTCTGCATGACAAAGTTGTGATTCTCCATCATCGATGCAGACACCATGTTGAGGCTCGTCTTGACAGAGTTAGAAGCTGAAACAAGTAGAGGCGGTGGACGTCCGCATGCGCGCCAAGCAGCGTCGACCCAAATGAATGCGATATCCACGAAAGTCGTAGTTGTTTCCTCCGTGCGCTCACAATCACACAACTTCGCTTTCACTCTTTGTCAACCCTGCCAGTTTTTTGTGTGCATCAGGCTAGACTCGCAATCGAAGGTATGCGTGCAACGCACACGTATCTGGACAACTTGAGCAGCAACCTTCTTTCCCATGCTCCTGATAGTTAAGCAAGAACAGCGAAGGGCACATCAGCAACAAAGCACCAACATTTGTCATTGCAAAGCTCAGGATCCAATTCGCAAACACTAGTAACCCAAACAGCGGGCCTACCGGCAGGAGCTGCGATGGATAGCATCATACTCTTCGACCGCAAGCTGCGTGCTACGAATATGAATACGGGAGAGTGTCGAGACTGACACCGCACACATTGACCTGCCAGTATCTTCACCAGAGGCACCTGACAGCAACGAGCTCCTTTTCTTACTAGACAGCTTTACCTTTTCAGCCGCTAGCACAGACAATTGCTTGGCGTCCTCACGTCACTACTAGTTCAGTAGACCTTCGTGACCTCCAGAAGCGTTTCTTCGTCGCGTTCGTCGCGATTCTTTTGGCTGTATTCGTTGGCTACCATATCGTGCAGCTTCTGGGTTTCTTCTTCTGACATCTGCATTGCATATCAGACCGACACAAGGTGATCAAGCTTCCGAGGAGGTAGACACGTGGCAGCCAAATTACCTTGTACGGGGAATACGCATCGCTTGAGAAACGGCCGCTCTCCACATCGTCACGATAGTTCTCAAGGCCGATGCGAATTTGTTCACCAACATCAGCATAGCGCTTGCAAAACTTGGGAACAAATTGTGCGTGGTGTGGGTGCTGGAGCATACCCAGCAGGTCATGGAAGACTAGCACCTGGCCATCCGTTTCCGGACCAGCGCCAATGCCGATTGTTGGGATCCTGAGCAGCTTCGTTACGGCCTTGGCTACAGCCGATGGAATGCATTCAAGCACTACAGCAAATGCACCTGCCTTTTGCACGGCCAAAGCGTCCTCGATGATCAATCGTGCTTGCGAAGCTGTGCGGTGAAACAAGGGATCGTCAGCACTGCTTTCAAAGAGCGCTACAGCGTGTGCTCAGTCTTGTGCAGCATAACCTGTACGGCCTTGAGCGCGGAATCCTCCCAGGACACTGATGTGCTGCGGACGAAGTCCGATGTGGCCCATCACAGCAATGCCTCCATCGACAATGGTCTTGACTGCACCGCAACGAAGCTGGTCAGTACACGCTGCAAGCGGATTTGACCACAACTACATCATCCGTACTCGTCTCTGCACGTTCCTTGCCTCCTTCAATCTTCACGCAGTCAGCGCCACCCTCCTTTCATCAACACGATACACACACAAGCAACGATCAGCACGATGTGTTCGTCACTTGCACGCGAGACACTTTTGCTACCAACATCGCTCTCACTACCTTCATCAGACGTTGAGCATTCTTCAGCGCTTCAAACGGCGCTCCTTCACACGTGCCAAAAGGCATGTCCGTGACCACTAGCGGACGACTGGCTCCGCTGTCATTGCAACGAGCAGCCAGCCACACGACCACGACGTGAGACAAAGCGCAATCATGTTACAATACAGCCACAACTACCGTAGACGGCAGTAGTGGCCGTAGGGTCGAGCAACAGAGAGCACTCGAACGCACCGTTTCACCGCTCGTGTGTGGTGGATCATGTCGTCCAGCGTCACTGGAATCGTCGTGTCCATCCCCTGCAACAGCAACAGCAACAGCCACACAAAAAGAGACACACAAACGACCGACACACTGTCAGACCTTCAACCTCTCTCTCTCTCTTTGTATCTCTCTCTCTCTGTATGTCTCTATCTCTCTGTCGTACCAACTCGACCATTCCCACCGAGTCGCCCACCAGCAACACATCAAATCCCGCCAAGTCCACGTGCACTGCCGACGGGAAGTCGTAAGCTGTGACCATAGTGATGCGCTTCTGCGTGCGCTTGTAGATGCCCATGTCCAGCGTCGAGACCTTGCGGCGTTCCAGTAGCTTAAGCGTACGGGCAGCTGCGTCCGCATTGTACGTCGGAGTCGGAGGAGGAGGAGGAGGAGGAGACGACGCAGACGAAGAAGAGCTGCGGGTGGAGAGGGGCGCGCGGGAACGAGTGCGACGCGTAGCGACGGACGACGGCCGGCGGAGGACGAAGCGCTTCATTGTGTGCACGAACTAAATGAAGTGGTCGGACGGATTGTGTCGGAAGGCGCGTGGGACGGAGTATGAGTACTGCTGGGCACGGGAAGAGAGGAAGCGACGCTTTGCGCGCTAATTGTCGTCTTTTACGACGGAAAAGTGAAATGCCACGAGGTATTAGTGATAACACTTAGCTATTTGTGGATAAAACAGAGGCCTCGAATCGGTCGTCTTTCGTGTACCTTTGCGTCATTGTCTCGACCCTAGTCTGTATCGGAGATATACAGGATTGCACATGACGACGCGAAGGCCATCATCACCCACTGGGGCCTTCTCACCACAACAAACACTGCAACTGCTTGTGATAGCGATTGCATGTGGATTCGCAGCTGAAGAGGATCGAGAGATGTCTTTTCAGCATGCACTCGTGCCGATCATAGCTCCGAACAGTACAATACTTTGCTCTGTTGCCGAGACCCATACCATTGCTCAGCATCGGACTACATGGATACGAGCTGCTTCATGGGACGCTGCTGCTTCGTCGATGATGTAATTGATAAATGCGGTCAATGCAGTGTTATGCCAGTACAGGCGGCAACTTGGGCGAATAATTGATATCGGTTTGTCCTGCGAAGGAAGTACCTCACCTCGCGTACACGGCAAGGGATGGACCCTTTCTGATAGCCGTGCACGGCACTGCAACATAATTGCAAACTACTCGTTCAGCATAGATGCTTGCAATGAGGTCATGTACATTGGGTTTTGTAAGAGCGGATAGCGCTTCGTGCGACGCCACGCGCGTAACCTGCTCGAATATTGTCTAGTCGATATACGTCCACAAAATCCAATATAATTGCGGATACTGCGTGCGCCGATGTTAATTGTCGAGAGGTCATATTATCTGCTCTTGCAAGATCTTATACTACACATAGAAATGGGAATCTCACGATACCAGATGCATTTCTTAGTGGGATGTCTTTGGTCAGCAAAGTTCCTTTTGTGGCAAAATGCGAGACCATGGAGTAGAGTCCAGCCAAGAAGACGCACAAGTATTATGATGAGATATGCCCTTTCGTTCAGTTTGATACGCTGCAGTGTTATGCTACGCGTCGTTGTAGGTTTGGTGCCCCGAGACGTGGGATTGCACAAAAGCGACGAGCTACATCGTACTGCGACGGTAGTGGCGTCGAAATACAAAAAGCGTCGACGCTTACGACTTATTGAGGATACAAAGACAGCAACGCAGATATAGCAACAGACAGATCTAGTCATTGATCGCATCACCAACGAATCCACTCATTTGCGTGGCTTCGTCATCTATACAGAGCATCGATATGCAACAGAAAGCATGGCATAACCATGTTGATCGAGCCAGATCCATTGGCACTGCTGGACAAAGCAAGACAGAAGGATGGAAAAGACACTTCGGAGCTTGGCAAAGTGGACCTCGCAGCTTCCAGTCAGCGCGTCTAATGGAAGGGATCAATTGAGCTTGCGCCGAATGTTTTGTTGTTACCACACTTCGTTGCCGATCATGTCGAGGCTTCTATCATCACGAGCGACCACAATCTGGTCCAAGTCGTGCATCGACCGTGTGAGTACCTTTCCCATATTTGGTCATTCAGCAAGGGCGCATCAGTCCCGCATTGTATACAGTCTTGCTATGACCAGCTACTTCTGACGCAACGGGTGCTCGAGCTAGGAAACACTGTGGCACGATGGATAAAAACTGCAGATAGGCAAACGATACGAAACAAAGTACTTGTGTGTGCAAGTAGAGTGTAGTGATCAATTCGAGTTCAGGCGACGTGTCAGCAAGCGAATGCCTTCATTATGTCGAGACTGAAATGTAGGTGTGATGGCTGCACAGCCCAGGGGCATGTAAATGTCGGCCATCATCGCAGCGCGTTGGCGATTCGGTGCTAGCTGTAGGCATGGTCGCGGCGAGTCCTTGCATCTATTTCTTGTAACTAATCTCGTTGTGTGTAGCAGCTGTATCGTTGGGAGAACATACTATGCTGGACGACCCTCTAGCTGAGTATACAGAGCTCTGGGGCTATGTTCGTGCACAAGCTTTCGCATCTCTCACTCAATTGATGGGCATAGAGTCGTGTCATTCATACGTTTCGGTATGGCACAGTCAGCGTCGTGTAATTCTGCGACAGCCTTAGTAACGAGAGATTGCGTCACTAACTCCAACGTATCCCAATCGTCGTTGGATACTCGCAATCTCGCACGATGGTCTGATGAACACACTGGTTGTGGCATGCTTCTTTACACCGTGGTCGTCGTTTTCTGCGCGAACGGACTCTACTATGACTTCTCTGACCTCACACGGTACCTCTGTTTCGGCATCGCTACGTCTGATGGAATCGTGGCGACGTCAACTACCATTCAACTAAGGTCAGGCTAATTGACCTCACCTGTATTTTCGGGGGAGTTGATGTGGACTGACACTACGGCAAGTCCAACTCCATCAGCTATTGCTTTACTCACTTGAGTGAAGATGCTGTAGGGGGTACAGCAGCTGGCCGCACCACTCTCGAGAGTGCCAATGTCTATGCTACCATCATCGAGACTCCTTCTACGAGCGGTCCCATTTTGCCACTCCTGCAACAATCACCAGGCCATCGTCAATGCAACTTCGACACCTTACACACGTCATCAATCCCCATCGACCACCTGCACTGTTTGTACATCCAAGAACATCCAGGTGATTGTCTGATAGTCAGTAAAGATCGTTGTCGGACCGGTGAAGATCGTTGCTATGCCGTACTAGCTCAAGCCCTTGTAAACAGCTGGCTCGGCTCAATGCTGCATCTGATCCTTAGCTCTCGGCGCAGGTGGAGGTTCGACACGTCATTCTGCTTGCATTAGACGAGTGGATTGGTATACCTCTGTCGCGCTTCGTGCGGAGACAGTGTGACATTACTCATGAGCTGATGAATGGGTGTATGTAGCCAGTATAACGCCAACTCACTGCGTTGCTCGCGCCAGCTGTGCAACGTGGCGCAAGGGCCCAACATTATGCGTGCTGCGAGAGTATAGACAAACCAATGTCGTTGACAACAACAAGGACTTTCTCGTGACCCGCTCTTGCCTCTACCCAAGCAAACGGCACTCAAAGAAGCACGTGGGTGATCTGGGTATGAACCAGATGTCCACGATCTCGTCGCGCGCACAGCGATGCGACCATCAGAAGGTGTACAGCCACTGGGGTGAGAATGATGCATGATCCCAGTCTTGCTACAGTTTGCAGGCAATGTCGCAAACGGATCCGACGACGGATCGTGCACAGCAAATTACAGAAAGCCAAAGTTTGGTGGTCACTACAAGTTACGCACTAAATGATCGACTTCCGGTCGATGCACGCTTCACGTTCTTTACTGTATAGGTCAACGCTTTTGTCGTCATTGAGTGAACCGATAATTCGTGCTGCGTACCGCATTCTCTTGCGAGCAACGGTAATGACCAATGTTCCTTCGACTAGAGACCAGACAGCCGACCGAGTGTTCGCGTGGTGAGCGCTATCGGCCATTGCTGAAGTTTGACACCATTTTTGAGAATCAGTGCTTTGCGCGTTACTGCGCTGGACTACACTGGTCGCAGCCGTCCTACTCTGCCAGGGCTCCGAGATTCCAATTTATACTCCCAGACGTATACTGGTCTGATTCAGCAGTATACGAGCATACGTGAGAGCCTATGATCTGGAACGAGTCCGCACAATTGACGACACCACTTTGCCAATCAATATGCGAAGCCTGCGACTCGTCAGAAGCCCTACTTGTCCTGTACTGTCATTGCCAAGTCGTTCGTTCCACCAGAATGGAAGACGCTTGTTGCCCACGCAAATGTCCATCGATGACAACCGCATGCCACATGCATTTTCGCTATAAACCACCGTGGCATCGAGATTGATCGAGGGACCTGAATGTGATTGCAGGGCTCTAGACTGCAGCAAACAGCAGGCAAGTGATCAAAAGAAGACCATTGCCAATGCCTAAGCCAACACCGCTCCACGAAAGCTCAATATCGAATGCTTATCGTCACAATCATGTGCAAACAGCTACAGAATCCAGCTAACTCTTTGCTACTTCGTCGCTGCAAAGCGCATGGAACTAGAGCGACAGGAACTCAACGTCACGACAAGTTTGCGGACACGCTATCATAGCACCTCGGCCTAAACGAGGCCTTCCCGGTGATAGCCACACCAGTAGACTTGCGTATCAGATCTGCGACGCGCTCAGTCGGAGCAGTGCTTCATCTCAGCACAGAAACAAAAGTGCCACAAAGCCCAAAAAAACAGATGAGCCACAAAGAGGACCAAAATTCGCAGCTTCAAGAAAGAAAAGCGCCAAAACATTCTGCGCGGCCGCCACAGCAGAATGTTTTGGCGCTTTTCTTCTTGACCCCGTTCCGTGTAACCATATGTCCTGTTAGCTGAGTTTGCAGCGTTTCTACCCATCGTGCCCACTGATGCGGCCTGCTTGTCCAGTCTATGCAACCCTCAGCCCCTGCTCGACTCAGAGTTCCGCCACTCTCACTTCTCTGAGTCTCCATCTGAGGCTCTCTGAGTCGACGCCGCGGTAAGTCGTCGCTCACTTTGCACGCGTCCCGTCATGGCCGGCGCTCTCCTGCGCTCTGACCCCACCGCGCGCGCTCTCGCTCTGTCTCTGACTCTGTCTGTCTGTGTGTCGTCCAGATTGAGCCCACAGCATGTCGCACGCCAAGACCGCTTCCCTCCCGGCCGCTGCTGCCCCCGTCGCGCTCCCCGGCTCCGAGCGCGCCGACTACCGCGGCAAGTGCCGGTACAAGACGGGCAAGTGCGTGCAAGAGCGGGCGCTCAAGACCTCTGGCGTGGCCCACAACCTCTGCGACGAGCACCGCAACCGGCAGAACCAGCACCAGCGCAAACTCGACGCCAAGAACCGACAGCACAAACGCGAGCAACGCGTCGCGGCCAACGAAGCTCTGATCGCTCGATTCGCACCGTATCGACCAGCTACGAAGACAGCAAAGGGACGCGAGTCGCTGACGCCGTCGATTGACACGTCAGACGACGGAGAATCAGGTGACAATGCCGCACAAGTCGCAGCAGCGGCGGCGGCGGCGGCTGCTACTGCTGGACCCGCTGCAGGGAGTGGAAGGAGCGCGACGTCGTTGCTGTCAGCGGCGCCGACTTCTACAGTCCTAGCAGCGGCTGCTGCGAGTAGCGTCATGTTTCTACCGAACGGCCCGCAGCCGCCACAGATGACGAGTCCGTTTGCCATGCAGAACTTTGACGGCATTGTCGTGCCGTTGCCGTCGTATCTCGAAGGTCAAGAGCGGACCGAGTTTCGCTCACGGATCTACCAAAAGGTGCTGGATTTCATCTCGGAAGAGTGCATCTCACGCTTTGGCGCCAAAGCCGAGTCGACGGCGGTGCATGGAGACGGCGCTGGTCAGCCTCAAGCGAAGTGCGAGGCGTACGCGCCGGCCACGTGCAACAAAGTTGGGACTGTCGACACGGCAGACGTCTCGCGGAGCTTGTCGTCAGGAACGGAGAAGGTCGGGACGGCTAGTGCCACGAAGAGGAAGCATTGACATGCATGTACTGGGCGTTTGTCTGATGGGAAGAAGACACGCGGAGCTCGGCCACTTGCAGTCGTCACAGCTGTAGTGTCAGCCACTGTCACTGGGAGGTACAGTCTGTAGTGCCAGCAGCAACGCTGGTCACGCTCGTAGATCTCTGAGCGCGAGGACCCTCGCTACCCGTGCAATCACAAGTCGTTCTGAACCTGTTCTCAATCTGCTTTGACTGCTGGCTGAGGAACGCTGAACAGTCACCATCACGTCTCCTGTTCAAAACGGCTCAGTGCATCAATGGCCTCGCGCATCAACGCGTTTGCTGATAAAATAACGGGAGTACATTCGACAGATATCACGCATCTAGGAACGACAGCAGGACGGCGGGCGGGCTCAAATCTCCACTTCGCGCTTGCCCACTCGTACCTGACTGTCATCGAGGCCATCGAGACTGCTGAACGAGTACTTTTCGTCGTTGTAGGACATCTCACTGTCGCACTCACTGCCGCCACGTGCACGTAGCTGCTCGGCATACTCTGAATCAGTGACCGAGTCGGCAATGGAGTCGGCAATGGAGTCGGACACTGACGACCGGCCGTCTACGTCCACCCGTCGCTTCGGCGGGCGACTAACGTCGTGGGACGACGCGAACGAGTACTTGCCGCTGTCGAGGTCGCTGATGGTGTCGCTAAAGCTGACGGCACTCAGTCCGTCCGCGACACTGCCAGTGCCTTCGTCGTCGTACTGCATCTCTTCCTTCATCCGCAGGTATTCGGCAAAGACGTTCGGAGTGGACGTGCAGCGAGACGAAACGTCTTGCTGCACGTACTCGCTCACGTTGGAGAACCCGCTGATGCCTGCCGCGCTCGAGGGCGGCAGCATGCTGCGTCCACTGACCCCCTTGAAGGAGCTGGTCTTGCCGCCCAGCACCGGCGGAGAATGCGGCGAGTCAGTCAGCATGCCGTCCATGCTGCGCGGGGACTCGTTTGTGCGTCCGCGTGGCACAGAGCTCTTGACACGCACAGGGGGCGAGTGCTTCCGTTGCTGATGCTGTTCCTCGCTGCTGCCGCCTGAGTTGACGTCTGGACGGATGTAGCTCACCTTGTTCGTGTCCAGAACGTTATTGTACGAGCCAGCGTAGGGGTCATCGCGTAGCTTGGACAAGCCCCGCGGACGCTTGTCCGTCAAGACGCTGCCGTGGCTAAAGTTGGTCCCCGGGCCTATAATCGCCGCGTTCTCCTCGCGACGACGTCGCATCTTACGTCTCCGCGCGCAGAGGATGACGAGGAACAACAAGACGAGAAGCGCCGCAAGTCCAATGGCTCCGTAGGTGACTACTCCGACGCTGAGGCCGCCGATGCTCGTGGAGCTCAGTGCTTCGGCGTCGGTATCGGTCGATACGGCAGAGGGGGTGGAAGACGGCGTGGCAAGACGCACTTCGTCTGTAGGCGCGGGAGTGTGCCGGTCCCCTAGAGACGCGGCACTGGTACTGTCGGGACTCGGGCGAGGGAGCGGCGAAGAGCTCCATGAGTCAGCTGCAGCACGTAAACAATCAATCACCAATTGGTTGAGTCAGTTAGTGAGCGCGTGACACAGAGTTGAATGAGGAGGAGGAGGAGGGGATGGCAGTAGTCGTCGGTCACTACGTACAGCAGTCGTAGCGCACGCCAGTGAACGGGCACGTGTTGGTCGAGTTGTCCTTCTCCCAGCACGTGAACGTGTCGTCGAGCGCGTAGATGCACGGCGGACAGTCGCCGGTGGTCGTGTCGCAGGAGACGCTGCCGTCCTTTAGACAGGACGCGACGGAGCTGCAAAAGCCGCTCGTGTCGGACGGCATCGCAAGAGTCGAGAGCTCCAGTGCGCGTCGGGAGAAAGTCATGCAGTCCCCGCGCTCCTTCTTTTCTTCTGCCACACTGACGGCATAAGGTCAGTCAGTCGATCGGTCCGTCGATCGGTCCGTCGATCGGTCCGTCAGTCTGTCAGTCTGTCAGTCTGCCAATAGTAGTTTCCCCCCCCCCCCCCTCCTCTCTCTCTCTCTCTCGGTCTCGCTCTCTCCAGATGGCATAGTCGACCGACTACTACTACTACTCCTCCTACTACTCCTACTACTACTACTACTACTACTACTACTACTACTACTACTACTACTACTACTACTACTACTACTACTACTACTCTACTTCTACTCCTACTACTACTATCTTGTCCTCCAACCCGTCCCCGTCCTCCTTCTCGTCGAGCCAGCCGCACCGCTCGTCCCAATTGCACCGCTGGACGTGGCGGCTGACCAGCCTGCCGTTGCAGATGGTTTTGCGGCCGCGGGTAGAAGCGGGCCAGAGCCACTCGCTCGAGACGGTGGTGGGTCAAGCGCTCGTTGTTGTCGTCGTGTCGACTGCCCTCTTTCCACACGGTTTCAAATCGAGACGAGCGCCGTCTGCGACTACCGCGGCGCAGGAAAAGCCAGCGCCACGAGCAAGAGACCAGCCAGGCACCTATCTATCTATCTGATCCGAGAGATCTGAACGCCACAGAGACGGGCGGCCGTGAGCCTGTCGGCGGATCTCGCGCGCGTGTCGCATCGCTTCCGTCGAAAGGATACGCTCGTGCGGAGGTACCCTTGACAACAGCCAACGCGCGTGTACATTGCTGCCGTCGGGTCGTCGGTCGAGCAAGGGGCAAAGATGGAGCGAGAAGGTGCACTCGAGGAGGCGACTGTGCAGATTACTCACTATGGTCCGCCGTTTTGGTACTGTAGAAGCGCTCTGCACGACGCGTTCGTTACCAACGCTCACGTGATTTCAGCAGAGAACGGTCTCACCTCCAGGGAAAGGACTACGATGGTGGCGGGCGTCAGGTCACCGACTTTTGTACGCAACGAACGAGTGCGCTACCCACATTGCGTGAGCCGCAGCGCTGATTACGATGGCGAGCTACGAGATGGTGCGCATGGCCGAGTTGTCCTCGTCTTCTTGTCTCTCTGCTGACCGCTTGCCGATGCGTTTGTAAGTCATTAGTACTACCACTGCTGTTTCTGCGGAGCTACGTCGAGCAAGTAGCTCGTGCTGTGCTGCATGGACAGGAGGTCTTTGACCAGCAGACTGCATATGTGAAAATTTCAGCTGCGGCCTGGTGCGTGGCCCTAAACTGCCACATCGTCACGCGTGCATGAGGCATCTGTCTCTTCCAGTGCAACGTATGCTGACAATGGGCTGAGCTCCGGTCCATGACGTGGTCCTTGCAAGCTGTGGTCGAGTGCACGTTTGTGGCGAGCGGAGTTCGATACCCTCAGTGTCGCCAGCATCGTTCAACCACTTCGAATTGGCTGCATGTACACTGTCGCAGTTGCCCTCGTCCCTGCCATACCTGCTGCAAGCATGTGTAACATATAGAGACAACCACGCATCACTTCAAGCCGCACGGCGCGCGTGTCGCACTGTAATCGCGTGCTCGCAAGGTTGGGGTCGTGTGAGAGATAGAGAGATTCATGACTGTCTATTGCACATGATGGTTACGCGCTAGAAGTCTGAAATCTTCTAAGCCTAGAATACAGCGCCGGTCGCGGCGGTGGATCAAGGCACCTCTCTAGTGGTAGCGAAACTCCGCTAGCCTCAAGAGTAAAAAGTTCAAGGGAGGCATGTAATCGAGCCCCTCGAAGAACTGTCGACGCCCCTCTATGCTCACGCATAGCCAAGGCCGTTAATTGACGGACGCCGGTTGTCCAGAAATGGACGACACTTTGAGCCGTCGTAGACTGCACGCCTCTGAACACGGCATCGTTGCGCTCGCTCCATAAATGCGTAATGCAAACGGAACACATTAAAAACCAAATCCGTCGCCACACCTTTTCCCCCGCTGCGGCATCATCGTGAAACCGCTCGAGCAACCGAGACCGCTGAAACGCCGGGATCGCCGGAGCCTGTCGATTCGCACAGTTGCTGAGACAACTATGGACTACCGCACTCGACACAGAAGCGCCGATCCAATGGCTGATGAACTTAGCCCAGCACGCCCGCGCCTTCTGACAATCCCAAAAGACGTGCCTCGACGTTTCGGGCACCCCGTGACACGTAGGCAGGGCCCGGCAGCTGGGGTCGGCAGCCCGCCCGGCATGATGAAAATTTAGCTGCTTGGTGGCGACTCGATACGCCGTCCAAACTTGATAGTCGGAGAGTCCGTTATCATGTTTCCAAAGTTGGGATGGTTGCTGATGCGCCGCCGCCCTTAGCCACGAATCCTCTCGATAGACTGCATCCAGCCGCTCCAATAAGGGTAGTAAAGGCCGAGTTAGTCGGTGTTTGTGCAGCGAGAAAGCCCGGTGCAAAATAGCCTGACGGAGAGCTCCATTAGGAACCGTTTCGGGTACTCCCCACGCAAAGTGGTGGTGACTTGGGTGAGCATAAAAGACCACGCCGTGCTGCCGGATGTGCGTAGCCCATCGCTGGCTGTCACCGTCCGACGCCGTGTGGAGCTCGGGTAGGCCGTCTTGAAACAACCAATGCAGCCCATCGGAGCCCTGGCGTAACTGCACCATTCCGTCTCTCTCCTCTAGTGAATTCCTGCGAGCTCCCACGACGCAACCCCGACTCACAGTGACCCAGTCATATTCATAACGAAATGGGGGGGGATGCCGAAGAGATAATGCTGCCGCCACGCCCAATTCTGACCCGACCGTACATAACGGAGACGCCAATAAAATTGCTGTCGCCCACCGGCGAAGCTTCGGCTGGGAATACGTGACTCCCTCTGACCGCGAGGGCGGGATGGTGAAAACATAGGTGGTCGGGCCCGTCCTCCAAATGTGCAGGTCAGCGATAGAGCAGGCGGCTATTTGATTGAACTTCGAGTGCAACAACTTCACACCTTTAGCATCCCGGATCCACGGATTGCCGGACCAGCCAAACGTCCCCCAAAATTGACGCACCGCGCGTAGTTGATAATCAGAACCCTCCGGAGGAGGGACTTCGTCAGGTAACGTAGTGGAAAAGTGTAGTTCCCAGCCACGCCCTATCCATCGACTTACCGCTTGTAGTACGAGAGAATCAAGAAAAGACGATGTCCGATCCCGTCGTTGACCAGCGTGCGCCGCCGACGGCTCAAGAAGCAAGTCTAGATCTTTAGCCACGAAAGCCAGCGAAGACCTGCTGATGCGTAAAGGCCGTTCCCGGCTACGCAGCCATGTATGCATGACCATACCCGAACCGGTAGATCCGCCTTGGTACGCCCAGGACCTCCAAGCATTAAAATACTTGTCGTGCGATTGGGTGAGCCAGCGCAGCGCGTGTTTGGTCCGTTGCGTTTTGATGGCCACCTCCACCGAGGCTAGACCAACCCCACCGGCTTTCTTCGGCGTGTACAGCAAACCAGGGTTGATTTTATGACGGCGCGCGTCCGTCGAGGTCGAATGGTCCCACAAAAATTGTTTGTAGAGATTTTGAATGTCTTTGCTGGCCCATGACGGGATCTCAAAAACGGCCGCCGTGAACAGGATCGACGGTAAGATGACGGCGTTTAGAATGAGTACTCGAGAAGCAACACTGGTCGATATTTGTGAAGCCGTGAGCAGACGCCGCTGCAGCCGGCGAATTCGGAGCGCCCAATTGCGATGTTGGAGATCACCCGTCCCAATCTCGTACCCCAAGTACCGCGTGGTCTCACCCGCTTGAAGGACCGAGATGCCGTGGAAATCAACTAATCGAATCGCGCGGTTTAAGAAAATCAGTTTGCTCTTAGCCGGTTGCGCATGCAATCCGGACAGAGCGCCAAACTGTTGCACGAGCTGGAGCGCCGCCGGCAACTGTCGTGCTGCCTCGAGAAATATGGTCGAGTCATCAACAAAGGCGGAAAAGGTATGAGAACCTGTCCCGTCGCCTGGGACCGGAAGACCGCTCAGGTCAGGAGATTGGTGAATGGCCAGCCCCAAGAGCTCGACCGCCAATAGAAAAAGAAGAGGGGCGAGTGGGCACCCTTGTCGAATGCCTGATACCACGGGGATAGGCTTGGAAAGCTCACCATTGACGAGAAACGATGCCGTCGTCCCTGCATGCAGCCGATCAATAAGCTGAATATAACGTTCGTCGAAACCAAAGCTGCGTAGCGCCTCATACAAAAAAGTCTCGATCGACCGTATCGTAAGCCTTGCGAAAGTCGAGTAAAAGGATGGCACGGCTATGGAGAGCCGTGCGAGTCTCATCGTGCCGAGCCGTGGCTATTTGAGCCAACATCATCATCACGAGCTTCATCATCTGCCTGCCGTGAACAAAACCTTGCTGCGACTGCCCAATAAGTTGCGGTAGAACGCGCTGCAAGCGCGTGGCCAGAACCTTGGCAAAGATCTTGTAGCTTGTTTGCAGTAGGGAAATAGGCCGATAGTCCATGGCATCTGTCGAATTCCCCTTCTTCCGTAAGGGGATAATTAGGGCCTCGAGAAAGGAGGGCGGTGGGTCGGCGCCTTCCAAAATTTGGTTGCTGATGGCTACAAGAGCTGGAACGAGGAGAGCAGGTGTATCTTTGTAGAAGTCATTGTTGAGACCATCCGGCCCCGCTGCCTTATGGCGACTGAGACTGGTGACAGCCGTCAGAACCTCCGCTTCCGTTACACAGGAAAAAAGAGCCATATTATCAGCACCAGACAGCTTCCGGGCGCTGGGGACGCGCACGAACCGTCTGATGGCCGAGGGCAGATCTCTGAGAGACGTCGTACGGTGACTGATTCCCAGGACGGACGACCACTCGGACGCAAATTTATCAGCAATTGACAGGTTCCCGACAAAGGAAGGACCGTGGAGCTGAAATATGTTCGTGACGCACTGGTCGCGCTCCCAATTAGACACCCGTTGGAATGTCCATCGTAACAGATCCGAGGACCGCTCGAGGCGCTGCCCGAGCAGTACGAGATGTTCGCGACGGAATTCCTCCACGTTATGCTCAATCCACTGCTGCCGCGACGTTAGATTACAGGTGCTGCGGTACAGGCACTTGCGACGCAGCCTGGCACGTCTCTGTTTATCCCGCTTTCGAACCCTGTGAATACACTGGATGCAGATAGCTAAACCAGCATCCCATGATACCGTCGATGCCCCTTGTCCAACCGCCAAACGATCCATGTCCTGGATCAACTCCGCAAGAACCTGTTCAGGATGCGAAGTTTGAATGGGATAAGTGACCCGGCGACAAGGTCGCGGGTGAAGCGGACGCTCCGAGGCTCGCAGGTGAAGCACCACCTGCTGATGATCGGACGGTAGCGGGGGTGGGGAGGTGGACACCCACTGGACCCGATCAACCCAATGGTCGGGGACGTAAAAGCGGTCGATACGACTGGCGTGACCTCCTTCCCAATAGGTAAAATGATCATCAAAGTCATCGGCGGCGTCATCATCCGCATGGTCCCGAAGCACCCTCGCATCAGACAACTCGGCGGAGGAAAGTAGAGCATCTAGCGCTGGGCTTTCCGACCGATAGGAACGGTGCTGACCGTACCGATCGACCGCTGGGCTGAGCACGCAATTAAAGTCACCGACAAGGACGGTCGGGTGGTCGCGTAAATCCCAAGCGGATAGACTACGAAAAAACGATTCACGGTCCGGCCGCACATTAGGGGCGTAAACATTGAGCAACACATCTCCGTCGAGCATTAGAGCAAGCGCCCGTGTTGTCCATAAGTCTGGCTTCCATGGAGAAGCTTGAGACGCTGATTGAGGATTCAAAAGAATCGCGACCCCCCCTAAGGTTGGGGTCGTGTGCATGGGGTGGTCGATCGGTCCTTCCGTTTCGTCGGCGCCACTGTATGCCACCGGATGCAACAAGAACAGAGAAGCTGCTGAAAGCTTGAAGTCGCGGATCTCAGCCATTCGTGTCCGTCACCTCAAGCTCTGAATCTGCCGCTGTCGATGACAAAGTGCTGCAGCAATCTCATCGGTAGCGCGAGCTCTGGTGGAGCGGCCAGTCACGGGTCAAGCGACGAGCAGAGTGACAGCATTGCAGCGATCGTGGGTGTGAGTGAACGGTCGCCAAACACAGCAAACCGACATCATGAGGTGCATTTCTTGCATACACATCGTCTCAGTCCATTATTTCGTACTTCCTTCCCCTCTGTCAGACTACCGCCGAGCACTCCCGTTCGAGTTCACAGACCCTCTGTGTCGCATCGAAGGAGCACCAATTCGCCAGCTGACACATGTGCTCGAGCAAGTGCAGTAGCAGTTGCTGATCTGATTATAAGTAGAGGAACATCGTCGTAGCAAGAGGTCCGAGCAACAACCCACATGCAACAACTTGTATGCCGAAAGGAGTTGAGCACTTGTAGTTGCCAGTACAACCATTGCCGGGTCTTGCAACAGCGCGGCCGCCCTCAATGTCCTTCCTAAGCGCAGTCTGGTGCCAGACCAGCAGCTTTCCCACAGCGCGGCAATAAGTGCCACCGCCGTTTGTGCACGGTCGACTCTCTCTTTTCAGCCCATTATGTCCGCATTGATCCCAGCCCCATGCGACGCACTCGTTCGTTGATCGCAGAAACATGAGGGACTCAAGAAACGTCGGATCCACACACAAAGGCGAAGGGACCTGCAACGCCACCACGACACGCTTTCCCGACTATCCCTCGTCTGTCTCTCCTTCTCTCACTCGATCGATCCTTAGCCTGTCTCACCTCCCGTCCTGCTCTGTCGTAACGCTGTCGATCCCGTAATGGGTTGCACCACTTTTCCCACGCACTCTGAGCGACGAGCTCCGACACTGAAACGTCCGTACTCTATCGCCCCACACATGCGCACTGCAGACCTACACAACACTTTTGCTGCGTACCAGCGACCGCTTTCAGGCCGACTCTGATGGAAAAAAAGGCAACGTGGCTGCTGCTGCTGCTGCTGCTCACGCACGACTCGTGTATTCACTGGTTTACCACTCTCTCTCTCTCTCTCTCTCTCTCTCTCTCTCTTTCTGCTCCTTCAGGTGACGCGCGAGACCACTGCAACTTACATGGCGCAGTCCGCGTGCGACGCCACAGTCGAAGTCGTGACCTGCGACGGGTCCTCCAAAAAGTCGCCACTCGCCTCCTCCTCCTCATCATCGTCATCGCCACTCGCCTCCTCCTCCTCCTCATCGCCACCCGTCTTGGCCGCAGCTCCGTCGTCCTGCACCGCCGTGTCACCCGACGCGATCGTCGCCGTTACATCAATGCCGTCCACAGCCGCCGTGACGCTGTCGAACAGAGCCGCAATGGCGCTCTTGAGAACGCCCTCGCGCGTGAACAGCCCAAAGTAGGCCTCGACCGTCTCGTTGGCCTCCAGCGTCGCCAACTTCCACGGCTCGTCAAAGGCCGAGAAGTAGTAGTACGTGAGGTTCTTCTCCGTCGCGAGCGTGTAGAAGTCCACGAAGAACTTGGCGGCGTTGGCCTCCGAGGCGACGCTGCCGTTGGCGCTCGTGCCTTCCGACGCCCAACCCGTTTCGCCCACGACCACCTCCTTACTGTACGTGTCGACCGTCTCGACGAGCGCAGACAGGCGCTCGTAGAAGTGGTCGGCAGCGCCGTCAATGGCCGCCTTCTCCCAGAACGGAAAGTAGTTCGCCGACACGTAGTCGACCGCTTCGATCAGCTCCGGGTGCGCCGTGTACGTGTCGCCAATGTCGGCGATCGTCAGTGGGATAGCGGCGGCCCCCGCGTTGGCGAGACACAGCGCTCGGATCGCCTCCAAGTGGGCGATGGCCTCGGGGACCGACACGTCCCCGCGGTAGACAGCTTCGCTGCCCACGTGGATACCCACGATGTTGTCGGCGGTCACGAGGCCGGTCTCGAGCAGCGTCGCGAACGCCGCCTTCTCCTTCTCGAAGCTCGACGCGGTCGAGTCCACCCAAATGCCCAGCGCAACTTTGAGGCCGGCGTCAACGGCCGCGGGCACGACCGCAGTGGCGTGGTCGCAGTCCGTGAGCGAGTAGATCCGGATGACGTCGGTCACGCCCTTGAGCAGCGCGAGCTCGGCGGTGATCTGCGCGGCCGGTTTGCACTTCTCCTCGGCCGGCGCCCAGTCCGGACCCGCGCGGATGTTGTAGTTGATGCCCGTGCACTTGAAGTTGGCGGCGTTCGCGCCGCCGAACGTGGCGACGGCCAGAGCCACTGCAGAAGCCGCACGGAGGACGTTCACCATGATGGACGGAAGTTAGTTGCTGCTGCGGCTGCTGCTGGTGGTGGAGGTAACTCGTATCGAGCAGATAGGAGGTAAGTTGGGAAGTGACCGACAACGAGAAGCCTCTGCTGCAGACCGGGAGGCGACCACCACGATGTCTGTGGATCACTTGGGGGGTCGCCCGCGCCATCTGCATCCGGTCGTGCGCACAAGTAGACGCCTGAAGTGGATATCTTTCGCCAGCTGAACGCGCGCACGTGGTCAATTGTGTCGGCAGAAGGACAGGCGTCGGCAGAGTGCGCCACATGTTGGAGGCCGTGCGTGGAACGACCGTGCGCCGTATCAGCTGAGGTGCGAGGGAGCATCGACGCGTCGAGCGCTGTGCACGAACGCGAGGCGCTGTTGCAAGCGCTGGCCATATTGGAGCAGCTTCCGTACCCAACGGTGGAGCTCCTGCCTGCAAAACAGCTGCGCGTTTCGCTAGAGGGCGTGTGCGACGTGTGACTAAGCGCACGGACTTCCCGCTTCTACGCAGCCACATCTCCTTCAAAACCGCTCTGGCTCAGCCACGACGACGTGCGGGGGCACTCGGGGTACTGCAGAGAGCACACGAGTACGCACGTGGTCGTGTATTTGCAACGTGTGCGTGCACTGTGCGTATTGTCGCAAAGCGCCGCGACCTTTGGGTCACCACGTTGTGGTCGTGCAGTCGATCATCGACTTTGTCTGCGCCTGACGTCAGCTCGATCGCATCCCTTCGCACGCGTCGTCGTGTCATCACTCTCGGCCGATAGTCCGTTTCAGCTGCCGCTGTGGTCGGCGTCAAACTACCGCTTCATCGCTCGCCATGAGAGAACGAACGCAGTCAAAAGTCCATCGATTAATCGACCGAAAGCGCTGGACGTCGTCATGTCGGGTCTGTGCGGCTACTCACCGCATCGAGCCAGTGCACCGTCTCGCAAGCTCGTGACGTCCATGGGACTCCAAGTGCTGTCTCCGCGAATGGCCAAGCAGATCTCTTTTGTGCGTCATCTCCTACCCAACAACTCGTCGAGACTGCAAAGTCGCGAGCCGCGGTTCTGCGTCAAGACATGGAGGCATCTTGATCGAGGTCACAAAGTGTGTTCGTAGTGCTGTCACTTGTGCTGCCAATGTCTTCTTTCTCTCGCTCGTCACCTTATCCTGACACGTCGTCTATGTGCGCTCACTAGTGCGACGAATTCGCTCGCCAAAGCGCACGATAAGGTTTTCATGCCGCAATGGAAAGAGCTTTGGCGTTCCGTTCAACTTGCCGCGGAAAGATGTACGACACATGAGTATGAGAATAGATGCTTTGATTGCGCTTTCCGATAGTAACGAAGTGAGCCCGTTACATAAAATTCATACGAATGTATCAATTTTTGAAAAGTATTCATTTAGATATTATTCAAGCAACATTACTCAAAAAGAGGTAATGCGTCGGCAAAATATTACTTCCAAGGGTAATAATCTTGGGTGCTCCCACTTACTGGTTGATGTAGACGCTGCGACAAGCAAATTGATAACCAATCGCTGCCAGACGCGCGCAATGGGTGGCGAGCAGGAAACTACATAAGAGATTGTAGTTCAATATAGTTAGAGTAGGACAAAGATGGTTTATTAAAGAAACTACCTATATTAAAAATAGTTCTACATTTCCCCTAACCAGAGCTTCCCTAGCTCTGTCTATTTCCTCGCACTACCTCATGCCACGTGTACGTGACGTCGAAAGAACACAGCCTTGTGCTCTATCAACACAAGGTCTTACCACTTATCTATTAAGAGCGTGTCCCGTTACACCTGCTAGCACTTCACTACCAGTTTAATACCCTCAATGGGTAAAAAAATCTTGGGGTGGTAATCGTAGTACGATTCCTACAGTAGCTGAAAAACCTGTCACTACCTCTCAAAATTCATGGTTAGAATATACCGATTATATGGGGTCGTTCGCGTACCCATATATACCTAAAAAATAATCAAAAAGACAACCAACCTGGTAGCACTTCGTAGTCCAACGACCGCTACCACCTCAAAAGACATGATTATGTTGGATGAAGACGGAAGCTTTCACGCCACGCGTGAAGGCTTAAACCATATGTGTGACATCAAATGAATTGCGGTAGAACGTACCAGTTTTACCGTAGAAAAAACCGCCATTAGCACCATGCTGGAGTCTCTTCACAGATACCAACAATGTGCCGCCATAGCCGGGTTCTTCGAAATAAACATGTCTCCGAAAGAGAGACAGTAGCCTTTCTTCACCAGTAAGGATCTCAACAGGCCGATCAGTTAAGATAACTCGGTGCTCAACAGACAGAGCTCTTCAGACAGCAGCGATACAATGCTGCTGTATGTGGGAAGACACACACGCGTCGTCCCGAAACCCCATAGATATACAAATTTGATGTATAGCAGTTCGTCAGATCTGTAGCAATACAGTCTCAACGTAGCAACACAACAATCGCCGAGCTATTCGGCGCAGTCGGGCTTGTACGTCGGGTAAATACCCTTCGTGTAACGGGGCAGCCCGTTCCATGGAATTGTCACTTTAAAGAAACAATGACAATAAAGAATATTATGTTGAATATTCTTTGAACAATATCACCGATAGTGGTCATATTGGTGAAGAGACCAAAGGGTCTGCTCATTGGTTGATATCTTGACGATATCAACCCACCAATCGCCGCAGGACGCGCGCAATGAGTGGTGACGAGACGTCACCATACACTCAGGTAGATTAACATAATTAAGTCAGGTTAAACAGAGAGACAGTAACAAAAGACCTAATTATAATAATACAACAGTTTTACTTTTCCCTTATCTACGCTTCCTCGTTTGCCTCGTGTACGTCTGTCGGGCGCACCCAAGCCCTTGCGTTAAGTTCACGCAAGGGTGTGCCCCGTTACACCTGGTAGCGCTTTGTAGTCCTTACAAGGACCACAGCATCCAACATGAACATGTTGGATGATAAAGAGACCTTTCACGCCACGCGTGAAGGGTTTAACCATTTGAGTGACATCGAATGGAGTGCGGTAGAACGAATGATTTCTACTGTAGGAGAGTTCGCCATTAGCGCCAAGTTTAAGTCTCTAGACAGAGACCAACAACATGCCGCTATAGCCAAGTTCATCTAAAATGAACTTGTCGCCGAAAGGGAGAAAGTAGCCTTGCTTCACCAGCAAGGCTCTCAACAGGCCGAGCAGTTGAGAGAACTCGGTGCTCAACAGACGGAGCTGTTGAGACAGCAGCAATTCCATGCTGCTGTGGGCGGGACGGCACATTCGCGTCGTCCCGAGGTCATGAAAGTTGACATCTCCAAGTACAGTGGAGTCCCGGAAGACTCCCTGTTACTGTGGTTTGTCGAACTCGACAGAGCCTTAAGGGCTCGTCGCATCGAAGACGAGCAAATGAAACATACATTTGCTCAGACCCACTTGGCAGGGCGTGCCAAAACTTGGTCCCTGGGACTCGAGAGTAGCGACCCACATGTGTTTAGGTCGCTAGATGACTTCAAGTCACGGCTCAGACAAACGTTTGAGTCGCCACGGGCTGAGTTCAGGGCTCGTTCAGAGCTCCTGAAACTCAAGCAGGGTAAGCGTGATGTGCACGCTTACGCTCAAAATATACGACTCCTCGCGAGTAGTATAACTGCTAACCAAGTCCATGAACACACGTTGATTACGGTGTTCATGCAAGGGCTCGCAGAAGGGCCCGTCAGGATACACCTGTTCCGCCTTGAGCTGAATGCGCTGGAAGATGCGATATCAGCCGCGGAACAGGAAGACTTTAGCATGAGACCGGCTCATGCTAGCTCAAATTCTTATCGTCCACCAAGACGACAAGAGATCGGAGGTCCAGAACCAATGGACATCTGCTATGTTGAGAGCGAGAGACCTCGCTCTTCAAACAACAAGCGATTGCTGAAGTGCAATCGCTGTCAGAAGTTAGGGCACTACGCATATGAGCGTAGTGCTCCACGCCCATACCAAACAGTACTGAGCGAAATGGATGACCATTCGCCAAGAAGGGCAATGGGCGTGGGTCCAGAGCTGTTACGAAGCCGCAACAGCGAAACGGACCATCAAAAAATGGACGGGGTCAGTAGGTGCGGAGCGCCCTACTGATCCAGCAACCTCAAGAGAATTTGCAAATCTCTTGACGAAAGTTGCTCCAGATACACAATCATTGTGTGTCTCTGCACCTGGTGATGACGTTTCGCTCATCACCTTGAAGTTGGAAGCGACAAATGATTTGTCGCTTCGTGCCCTAGTAGACCGTGGGGCGTCGAACAACTTTGTTCGTCGCCAGTCACTAGAGGGTCGTAGGCTCAAGTTCGTTGAGAGCGACATTCCCCTCACGAGAATGATGGTGCGCCTTGCAACAGGCGCGTCGATTACCGTTAAGAAACGTGTAGTCGGAATCCACTACACGTTGGAGGGCGAACAGTACGATGATGACTTCATCGTACTGGATCTGGATGACAAATTTGATGTCATCCTGGGATTACCTTGGCTCAGAAGGTACGAGCCGAGGGTGAGCTGGCAGCATCGATCCGTAAAGATGCCTGCCGCTTGTTCATCAGATGGCCACTTGATGAACATATTGGAGCGTCCACAAGCGTGTGGATGTTCTGCGAGTGAGTGCGATAGCCTCACTTGCGGTTCGGTCGTTCGCAGGACACCACAAGATCACAGTGTAGTTAATCACTACACTGTGGAGCAAGCTCCCGGTGGCTGTACAGAAGTACAGGCGGCGCCGAAGGTCCACCACTCGAATAAGTCGAGTGGACCGGGACGTGGATGCAAGCCTAGCGGGCGACGTCTAGCAAGAGAAAACCGGTTGCCCACAAGAGGCAACACGGATATCCTAGGTCGACTGGAGGGTCGACCGTAGAGGATCGGTACCTGACTGTGGTTGCACAGCCACAGTCAGAAGACGTCGAGGGAATAAGTCCCCACGTACTTGAGGAAGGAATTCCTCAAGAGTCACTTGCTGAAGGATTA